AACAACAACCAGTGTGTGTTGCTGCAAGTGTGTGTTTTTGGACCAAGGATTGAAGTCCAATGGATCTGACCTCACAGCCACAGTCGCGCTGATAGGTAGCGAGAGAGAGTGCTTTCCAGGCATCCTCCAGACGTATATACGATAATCGGATATCTACTGGAAGGAAAAGCGCCTGACCTACAAAATAATAAAATTCCTGTTCCACTTAAGGGTTGGATTCTGATCAGCTAACATTAAGTTGTTGTATTTGTCATGCGCTTGCTATCGGACACAACATCAGAGCTAAAAGATTATCAATGTTGTATCTTGGTTTAAGTCAAAAGTCAAAGTCAACTTTAATGTCAACTTTGTCTGTGTGTTTGACACAGAGATCGAAATAACGTTTCCAACAATCCCGAATACAAAATACAATATATATATAAAATATGTATATCCTATATATATGAGCATCGTGTACTTCCTATTTACGGCATGTTTGTACAGATTTCCCATATATTTGGTGCCATCCCTGCATTATTCAAAAGTAAACTGCACATCAGGTCTGAACATTTCCCGACAAACACCAGGATATAGAACTCATGATGTTGCTATGCTAACAGCTAGTCAGTAGCTGAAATGTCTAGATATTTAACTCTCTAGGGTTTTGTAAAATATGTCCTTAGGGGAAACCTGTTCGATAATTTTGATGTGTTATATTTAAACTAATCTGATTCTGGATATATTCTGATATTCAACCATGTTTGATTGGTGTTTAAGAGATAGTAGGTTGGATTTCAGACACAATCTGATCCTTTCCAAAGGGACCAAATGTGCACCATTGTTGTTGTTTGGTTAAAAGCCAACAGCCCCATACTTTATAGTGTAAACTTCTTCTGATTTATGGATTCTGGACACTTTGGGCTTCCCAGAAGGACCACGTAATCTGTTCTAGTAATGGGATGGTCTCTCTTATTAGATATAGAGATAGTTTATGTATTGTCTTGGTAGGACATTCATGAACCTGTAGGCGGGATTCTGTACAAGTTTATCCCATCCGATGTGGACCAAATGTGCACCATTGTTGTTGTTTGGTCCAAAGCCAACAGCCCTATACTTTATCTTGTAAACTTCTTCTGATTAAGGGATTCTGGACACTTTGGGCTTCCCAGAAGGACCACATCATCTGTTCTAGTAATGGGATGGTCTCTCTTATCACCAGGGAGTCTCCCAGTCATTATTATATCATGCTTTGTGTCTTGTTGCTCAAAGCCGTTTGAGTCCATATCCTTGATATCAGACGGCAGCTGCCTACGCTAGTTGGCTCTTTGATTTCACTTGTTGGATATATGGTCACACTGGCACTTTACTAGTTAAATAAAACATTATTCTAGTCACTCTTTTTCAGCAACTAGTGGCACTTTTGTCCGACTAGTTCCTACATAAGCCTACTAGTGATGCCAGGAGCGGCACTAGTAGCACCAAAGTCCCAACTTGTACGCTTTTTGATGAACTAGTGTCCCTCTGACCGTACGAGTGTTTCCATCAGGAACAGCTTAGAGCACTGAGATCACCTCCGATCTCTACTCTCTAAAGCTAAGCCAATGCCATTCACAAAGTAGATCAGTCAAAGAAAGCCTCCAGCCTTAAACAGATTAAGAAAACAAACAATAGCTGCAGCTCCCCATTGACATCAGGACAGCAGGAAGCTTAGACATCTTCCGGCGCAGACTGAAAACTCATCTCTTTCGACTCCACTTCGAGCGATACAATTACTAACAAAGCACTTAATACTAACAAAGGACTAAAGCCAGTTGAGTAGCACTTGAAATGTTTTGGCTCTATGAAACCTGATGTACTTATATGATTCTGTTTTCTTCAAGTTTGTATCTTCTTGCACTTATTGTAAGTCGCTTTGGATAAAAGCGTCAGCTAAATGCAATGTACAACACGGAGAAACAGAAAGGGAAACATAGAAACACTTCATTTCATGTTTTTCCATTTGGTTTGTGACAACGCTGTCTGTGTTTTAAGACGTTCATTATAAAGTGAAATAGCTAACTTTTAGGACTACTTTCACTCCACACATTGGCCACCTTTTGTTTTCTGTTTACTTCACCCTTGAAGGGATTGATCCTTATCCCTTTCTGACCTCAACATTATCCACATCCCTTCACCCCTCCAACCCCTCACCCAATTCCCTTCATTTATCAACTTATCGACCTCTTCATCCCTTCCTTTTTAACCTGTGCATAATTCTCTTATGTCTCATTCTTGGAACGTAATCAGCTTGAATCGGAAATACTCTGAGTCTCTCTCTTAGTTATTATTATTTCACGTCCTTCTACGGTGGCCTAAAGGTCGTCATTCTTCATCCCCTTTTTTTACGTTGTCTTGGTTATAAGTGAAAAATTGGTCATATATTGTTTATACCAATCAGAATAAATGTACTTGCATGTTTCAAATAAGGCAATTATTTACTTGATCTTCTGTAATAACAATTGATTATGAGTCTTCATTATAGATCTAAGAGATTATTTTTATTCATATTTGTGAAGATATTCTTTCTTTAGTGGCTCTAGCGTTGTGTTTTTACAACCTGTGGATTTAAAAATATGTTTTTTTCAGGTTGAGTACGATTGTGTTTTAACATGCCATTATAATGGGGTGTAAAAAGCCAAAAATCAGTACTTTGATCATTTCAACTTTTCATTTTATGTGTGTTTTCTGGGTATTTCAAGTGTGTGTCCTTGACTCTGTGTGGTAGTGCTGCCATCTGCTGGTTACTGGCTGTGAAAGTTTTGAGTTGAGAAATCCCTACTTAAAGGTACAGTAGGTAATTCACTTCAGAACACTTTTTGTTATATTCCATGGAATACTTTTAACGTCCCGATAGCAATGAATATCTTAAATGCTTTGACAATAAATACATACAAAAATTAATCTGTGGAAGCCGTAGTCCTGTAAAAAGCACGACCAATCATCTGAGCCGGCCCGGCTAAAGTAACTGGATGGCCTACCTGCCTGTCAGCCTTCCATCTGTGCACAAACTTATCTCGTGCTCTCATTGGTCATGTGCGCGTTCGTGTGTGTTGGAGGAGGGGCTCTGTGAGGAAGTCTGAAGGAAGTGGCAGATTTGTTTCGGTTGCGTACTTTCAAATTCTAGCGCAGTCGAGCTGGTTTCTCCATTCTTACCTACCCTACCTTTAATACTTAAACAGTGAAGTAAAACAACAATTCAAAAGCAATTCAATCTCTGAAATCTCACTGACATAAATTAAGGGTTGGATTTTGACGCCCATAGACGTCTTAAGCATAGGCGGCGCGTGAGGTTCAGGTTTGGGAAGGCTAAATAACTTGTTTTTTCATTTTACGCTGCCCGCCTCCGGCGTCTATAGAAAAGAGATCAACTCAGTGAAAGCACCGCCTGCTGACCGATCAGAGCTCAGTGTGCGGAGTTTAAATCTATCAAGTCATATTACAGGAAAAAGGAAATGCAGTTTAAACTGCCGTATGCAGAGAAGACGCCGACGTGTCGCATTTATCATTCATATCACACTGACATCACATCATCAATCAGATCATCGATCTCACATATCAATATTTCCTTATCTGAGTCAGCTTCTCGAGCCGTATCAGGCCGTGCAACACTTAGTTACATTGTCACATATACTGTATGCAGACGTATTATTTAAAGCAACACATTAAGTTGACGAAACACTCAACTCAAATGTAATAAAGTCAGATCCCCTCGTGTCTTAGATGGGGCAGTATCATAAAACTGTTGTACGCTTTCAAACACTCGGTAGTTTATTTTTTAACGAGTTGTTCTGTATTCTCCTTGCAGGTGCAACTATGTGGCTTGTATCCTGGATTATATGTTTAAGTCATCATGCATGTTTAAAGTTCATATTTGTCTAATATTAGTTTACTTTTCATTAATGAAGTATGATGTTGCGCTGTCAGTACACTTGTCCCTGTTTGTGATTGGTCAAATGTTGCTAACCCCGCCCCTTTCACGTGAACGCGTTCTCAGCTGGAGAGAGAAACCCTGGCTTGATTTACCGAGTTGATAACCAGCGCCGTAGGACCGTTTAGCGAGATCTCGTTTGTTAGGGTTAGTTAAGATAACTCAAGCATATCCAGGGTCTGTTGAACTGGCTTCGTGGTACAGGGCACAGGTGGCAGCATAGCAGCGCTAATGTCAAAGACATTATATTTTTATTTTACCAGGATGCAGTTACACAAATATTTGGGAAGGCTTAGCCTTCCCTAGCCTCCAGCACCCGCCGCCCCTGGTCTTAAGCCCCTTTGGAAAAGCCTTCACTCATTTATTTCAAACATATTATATTGAGGAGATTAGTAGCTTGCATCACACCGATTGACATGTCATGGTTTTTTAATATATTTTAAGAATTATGCTAGGCTGCAAATCACACTTTTTCTGATTATGATCGATAATGTTGGTAAAATAACCCTAAAACCTTCATAATTGTACAAATGTTCTACTAAAATGATATATCTTCACAAGACAGCACTTTGGACATAGTATTTATTTCAGTCTTAAAAGTTTATAACAACTTCTGGATAACATAACATGAAAAAAACACAAAAAAATACACATTTTTTAAATCGCTCTCCCAGGTTGACATAATTAGAATTCATAAAAGCAGTTTTGAAAAAATAAAAATAACAATAAAATCACAGGAAAGTAAATCTTCTCCCCTAAAACAGCTCTTAGACTTTCGGTACGTCAGGTTTGTGAACGCCTGGCGGAACGGAAACGTCACATCAGGGACTGAAACACCTGATAAATGTACAGACACTTGAACTTGTGTTTCCACAGATCAGTGTGAACACTTTAACTGATTTGGGATAAAAATTCAAGGCAGTGAAAGTGGATTTTAAGTTTTTTTGGGTGCGAAAACAGGCCCCCATCAAACCTCAGGAGGCCCTCTTTTTGTACAAGTTAAGCCCAGCACCTGGAAATGTTAAAAAACACAAAACAAAAAATTGAGGTTTCCTAATCAAGGAGCCAAGATTTAATTCAAATCCTTTTTTTTTTTTGCACAAATATTTTCCCCTAATCATTAGACTACCTAAAAGCAACCCCCTTTATTTATCAACTCTACAATTTGAATACAAAAGCGATTGGCTTCGTTAATATCATACAAGACTGTCAGGGAAACGGCTCTGTCGGTGATTTTCTTTCTTTTTGTGTGTTTGAAAACAGTGAACAATCTCCCCCACAGCCGAAATAAAGTTTATATACCTTTTAACCTCTTTTTCAAATATATATTTATTATATATAAAATACTGTTTCATTCATAAAAGCCTTACTTTGTACAAAAATCTGAGTGGATGTGTGTCAGTGAGTGTTGAATGTGTGTGTGATAGTGTGAGCTAAAAAGAACCTGGAAAAATGGTCGTATAACAAACAGCTGGTACCGATTCAGGACCCTAATACACTAAAAACAAAAAAAGGTGTTTTACACAATATACACATTTTATTACTTACAAAAAAAAGGAAGAAGGTGTGATGTTAGAGTCGGGCTACAGCAGGGTTAGTACCACCAGACGTTTGAACGACAGAGAAATGACGCGGGAGGAGAGACAGAGTTTTTAGTAATAAAAAAAGGCAGTCTCACTACGGAAAGCTCATCGTCAGTGCATCTCTCATCTTGGATGTTCCGAAGTCAAAGTGCCCATTTGGTAACCTCCTCATCAACAAGGCCAACAAAAACAAAAGAGCACTTCTGTGTAGACTACACTATCACATGTTTGTCGTCAAAAGTGGCTTTAAAAAAAGGAGAGAGAGGAAAGAAGGGATAAGAGTTGAATATTTGTTGTCACACATCCATCATGGCACCATTTAGTGGATCATTTTCCTTTCTGAGGTACTTCTTAAGAGGAACAAAGAATAAAATGCAAGATTCTTTACTTTTTTTTTTTTTTTTTTTTTTAAGCTGTGTTGCACAGTAGCACCATTGTTTAAGGTGTAAGGTTGTTTTTTTTTTTAATCCGGGAGACAAATCCACCGTTGGATCCACCTTGTCGTCATGGTGTTGTCGATGTGACTAACGCCCCCCCCCCCCGTCATCCAATCATCGCGTTATTGATCGTGTGTCCCCGGTTAAAGGTGTGTTCTGTTGCCGTTTGCCGTTACGTCCTCTTCATGCAGACCACGCAGCGGCTCACACGAGTCCGCAGGTTACCCGCCTTCAGAGTCTCAGACTGGGGCTTCCTGTGAGGACAAAGGGGGGGATATGGTTAAAATATGGAGGTGGGTGTAAGTGTTTTGAGATATATCATCATGTGTAACTTTCAGGCTCCTGATATGAGTGAAATAATATAATCATGACCATTATTAGTAGGTAAAGTCACCTGGGATGTATCGGGGAGATATGGCTAAAATATGGAGTTAGGTGTAAGTGTTTTTAGATACATCATCATGTGACACTGTTGGAAATTAAAATCAATGTTGATATGGCGTAATTTGAATTAAATACACTATTTAATTTAAATCTGTTTTATTCTGAAAAACCTGAAGTTCACTAACTATTAACTTAATACTTTTATTCTGAAAATTCTTCACTTCCGGTTAGCATTAGCATGTGGCGAAATGCTGCATTTTCAAACCGTGAATCAAAGGGGAAATGACATGTGATGTTGTACACTGAGCACACTGGGTTTAGCACTCATTTATTGCCGCTGAATAACGTTTATTAGGGAATGTTTAAATAACCACAGACACCAGAATGATATAATTTAACAACAGAAAAAGGCAGGAATTGTATTGGACGACGACGCCGACCAATAGGAGACCTCAGATGACAACAGGAAGAGCAAGCCAAGGATTGACCTCTTCTAGCTGCTGACCTGGACTGACCGGTCGGATGAGGAAAGCGCCTCCACTCGCACATTTCATTTTGTACACCACCGCATCTTTTGTGTAATTAAATACTGTTAACTTTTATAAGCTTCCCTTGACTCTTTTCAGTCTCTCCTGCCTTCAGGGTTCTAGAATACACTAACAACACTTTTACAGGGAAATGACTAGGTTCTTGGGAGAAAAAGTGGAAGAATCACGACCATAATGAGTAATAAAGTCACCTGTGCTGAAACGGACGCACAGTGTAAGAACAAAGGGTTTAAATGCCATAAATGATATAGGCTGTATTTTGAACCTGTACCTCTCAGGATGTGAAATAAGACCTCATAGCCAGTCACAAGAAAGCAGGTGTATTTAATAATAATAACGTTATTAAAACAATAATGACAAATATGTTTGTCCTATCATGTGTTACTTTCAGGCTCCAGTTAACAGTGACCATTAGCTAAAGTCACCTGTGAGGTAAAGGACACAGTGGAAACAATTGCTTTTAACCAACATTGAATGTAAGAAGTAAGATATGTTAATACGTTTAAATAACTTAATTGGTATGTGCTTTAATTTGAATTGAGAAGTTTACGATTGTTTACCTATCTGTATATGAAAGACGACTCCATAGTCAGTCACAAGAAAGCAGTTTTCTTTCATAATAAAGTTGTTAAAGCAATAATGAAAATTATGTTAGTCCTAAATCTAAATGTAACTGCAGCAACGAGTCGTAAAGTTAATTAAAACTTGATGCCCCTGACAATAAGCAGATCATATTTCCCAACAGAGACAGTGTACAGAATCCCTGATATGTAACATTTGTGATATTGGGCTATATAATAATAATAATATAAACATTGATTGATTGATATCATATTAGTTTCAAGGCTTTTATTGTCATTAGCACATTAGCTACAGTGTAGATAAGGACAAACTGAAGTCACAGGCTCCTCCATAGGACATAGAACGAATAAAACAGATACAGTCTATAAGCGTTGAGTTGCTATGCTCCGAATATCTGGACCAAACTCCCAGAAACCTGCAGGTCCGCTGAACACTTTTAAATCCAGACTGAAGACGTTCCTTTTTGCCGCTGCTTTTAATTGAACTATTTATTCATGTATTATTATCTTAGCTTTTTTTGGTGTTGTTGTTTTTTAAATTTCGTTTCTTTCCGTTAACTGTCAAGATTTTTTTGTACGTTTTTTGTGTTTCTCTTTCGTACGACACTTATGATTGGCTGTGAATAAGAACATATGAAGGACAGAATATCTATTTCTATTTATTTTGAGAAAGGGCAGGTCATATAAGATTATTGTCTACTCCCTGCTCCTTTTCGGGTACGGTGTGTTTATAGAGACATGTTTTGTAAATAATTGTTAAACATTAAGTTGTGCGTACCATTATCGGAACAAATCGAAATGCCATTTTATAATATGTTTCATAATGCTCTTAATGTCTTTGCACTTTGAATTGCCTTGTGTTGAAAGGTGCTGTATAAATAAATATAACTATTCCACATACAGCATAGATTGAGATGTGTTTGAGGGTTGATCATATTTCCCAACAGAGATAGTCAGGGTTCATACACTTTTTCACCAATGGTTTTCAATGACTTTTCCATGACTTCTCCAGGACCTTTACCTCATTTTCCATGACCAAAAAAATGACTCTTTCTGAGCGGAACCACTGGGAATGGTTTATTTGAACATGGAACAGGAAAATAAGGTCTGAAACATGTTGTGCCTATCTAAAACAAATCCAATAGTAGCTTACTAGCTTCTACAGCTACTAATTAAAATCTCTCACCAGCAAAATACCTCGTCAGTTAAATGCCATTTTACGTTTCATTATTACGATACAGTATTTATTATCATTATAGTATTACTATTTTGGCGATTAGATCAAATATAAATTATATTTGATGCAACTTTAGTTACATTTCCATGACTTTTCCAAAACTTTGGGAAAAATATTGTTTTCCATAACTTTTCCAGGGCTTGGAATTAGCATTTTGAATTTCCATGACTTTTCCAGGTTTTTAATGACCGTAAGAAGAACCCTGGATAGTATACAGAAACCCTAAAGATATCATATCAGTCTAACTATTACACATAGATTGAGATGTGTTTGATGTGTTTGCGTACCTGAACATCTCGGAGGGTTCCACCGTGGCCAGCCAGAAGCTGTAGGAGTTCCCGTAGTAGTTGCATGTTCCTCTGCCGTGGCACTCGATGAAGGGAGCGCTGCGAAACTCTTCCAGACAGGAGCCGGGGGAGGCCAGAGCCTGACCCGAACCCTCTGCACCGGCACTGGTGTGCTGGGGGGGAGAGAGGGGAGAGTTAGGCATGTAAGAGGGGTGTCTACCGTCATGTGAAGGGGAATTCCTCTCTATATTTTGCACATTTCCGCACAATCATACCTAAAACTGTTCAGCTTTCCTACGACTAAATTCAGATATATGTTGTATCAGGAGTCAGAGCGTTCAGAGCTCCCTTCCTCTGGAACCAACTTCCTGTTTCTCAATGTCGAGGACGCTTCCTTGGTAGGACATGTCTTCCGAGTCTTTCAGAAGCGAGGCAAGAATCCTTCCTCGCCTCGGAAAACGAAGAATGGTGGAACAGGCTAACAGGTGTGCGTCATGTGAGAGGCCCCGCCTTAAATGGAGCGCGATTTCCGCCAAAGATTTGGAAATTGGTCCGTGCGCAAAGCATTGTGGGGATTTTAAGGCCGCGGAGGATACACATGTGCAGCCTCGAAATTTCTCGCTACGAAGGACGCCGGGCTCGGTAGAATTCCAAGGAGCCTGGACATTGGAACAGTCCTTCGGCGGGAGTCGATGACGTAGCATCCTTGAAATAGTGGCTCTGGAGCATCCTTACTTGACATTGAGAAACACCCAGAGTGTCCAAACCTTTAAGAGTGCGTTGAAGACCTACATTTTTAACAAAGCCTTCAGTTAGAGCTGGCATTTTATGCTATTCATTTTATTTTTATGGTAATTAATTTGAATGTATTTTTATTGTCTTTTGTTGTAACTTATTTTATTTAGTTTGATTTCTATTTGTATTCCACACACTATCTATCTTGTCTTCTCTGCTGTAACTCCATCATATACAATGTTGTTGTTTGTTTTTAATCTGTGAAGCCAACTGAGACAAACGTGTTTTGTGATATTGGGCTATACAAATAAAGTTTGATTTGATGAAGTTTGATTAATATTTTTGCGTAAATGTGTTTTTTTCCACATGTATATTTTCTACTTTTTAATGCTATTTTATTTCTATTTGAGATGTTTACATTTTGGATTGTTTATTTATTTTAATGTACAATGCCTTGTCTTTTGATGCTGCTGCAACGCAAACATTTCCCAAATTGGCAATTTTTTTTTTCCTTTTTTGTATATTTATATTTCTTGTAAACCTTTCCTCTTATTTTTTTAACAGTTTTTAAATAGTTGGGTACCACTTTACAATAAGACTACCCTTATAAAGGGTTTACGAATAGTTTGTAATTCATTTATTAATTAGGTTGTGAACACTTTATAAATCCTTAATAAGCTTTTATAAGACATGAGATAAACAGGGCGACTGTGACCGGTTGCCAAATAGTGAGCCCACATTTATCTGTGCTGCTAAGCCCTCGATTCCACCGCGTCACGGCTGCGCCGCGGTTTTGGCCTCCTCCGGCGTCATACCCTTACGGGCACGTTTCAGAAGCATTTCAGAAGCGGAGCGTCTTGCCTGCCGGCTCGCAGTTTTTGTTGATTTGGTCATATTTCCTGGACAGGCTACTTTGTACAGACACTGTTAATAATAATTGTAATATCCCAGTTAGAAATGACATGAATCAAAGATGTGTTGCTGTATTTTAGTGGTAAAAAAATGCATTCATCAACATAATTATTCTATATATAGATAATTTACACAGTGCCTGTAGACCGGAGGAGAACGCTGGCATTTCTCCTCCTACTTGAAAGACTACGGAGGGGTAGGGTCTGCAAAATCAGTTTATTTGGGGGATGGGCCGGATGCTGTTACCGGTCCACTTCCTGCCCGGCGCCTCTGCAACGCCTCGTGTCATGTCGAGAAATAGACTTCAATCCTATTTTGAGCAGAGCCCAGCGCCGAGACGCTTCTGGGCCGTAACACGGCGCGTCTGGTGGAATAGTACCCATTGACTAGAGTGGCCGCGATTTTCGTGGACGCTGCGGCGCAGCCGTAACGGCCCGTCCACACAGCGGCGTGCGTTGAAGCTTGCCGGCGGGCGTGTCTGAAACTCGACCAACAACCAATCAGATGAATCTCCCGCCCCTGACACACAAGCAGCGGTTTGATTGGCTAGAGCTTGTACTGGCATATGATTCGATTGGCTGACGCTTCTGCCGAGGCGTCAAAAGTTGAAAATTGCTCAACTTTTGCAGCGAGCCACGCCAGCAACGCTCCGCGTCGCTTCCCACAATGCAGTTCGGCGAAAAGTGACGTCACCCCATTCAAAGTGAATGGTGAAGCGTCAACGCACGCCGCTGTGTGGACGGGCCGTAACTTGGCCGTAACACGACGCAGACGGACCCGTTGGAATCTAGGGGTGAGTCTTATATTGGCTACTTAGCTTACTTCGTCTTCTTCATCAGCCAGCATCCTTGGTATCTGTTGCTCACTGAGTTCTCGTATAAGTAGCCAATATAAGGCTTAGTCATCTTGCCAAATAGTGAGCCTGTGTTGATGTATGAAAACTATGTTTGAACTGGTTTATAAATGGTTCTTAATGACTAATAAAGTGTTTACGACCTAATTAATAACCTAATTATAAACCCTTTATGAATCCTTTATAAGGGTAGTCTTATTGTAAACCAATAGTTGTTATATATACTTATTCCTTGTTACATCTTACCATCATGAAGGAGTATCCGATCCACAGAGCCTCCCAGTTTGAGGGGCAGGCGGGGATCTGGATGGTTTGACTGTGCACTGCGATCACCATGGCTGGAGCTTCACAAACCGAACACCTGCACACAGAAACACGTCACATTAAACACCTCGTATTTCCCCTCGAGCCAACTGGGTATTCTATCAGAGCGTGTCTCAAAAGCAGGTAAACAAATCTTCACTCTATAGAGAAATAGAGTAACAATGTAAATACTGCTTAACACCAGGGCAAAGAAAATCCCACACAGACAAACAAAAAATAAACAAATACATAAATGAATTAACTATGTATGTCTTAATGTGTGCATATGTATACATGTGTCTGTTGACTGTGTATATATAGGATATATATCTTTTTTGTATTCAGGATTGTATTGTAACGGTATTTCAATCTCTCTGTCTGTACACACAAACTGAAAGATTGACAATAAAGTTGACTTTGACTCTGTCCTCCTTCTCGTCTCCTTCCCTACCTGCTGATGAAAGGCTTGATCCCCTCCCCGGTGATGGGGGCCATGGAGCTGGGCATGGGTTCGGGTGTGGACAACCAATAGGAGTAGTCGTTGCGGGAGGCGAAGTTACAAACGTTGTTGATGTTGCAGAACATGAAGGGCATGGTGCTGAAGCGGCGCAGACAACTGCCGGCCGAACCTGCGGAGGAGGAGAAGAAGAAGAAGAAAAGAGTCCAATTTAATGTTGAAGAATCAGGTTTTTCCTACATCCAGGGCGCATCTTCAGCACATGCACTTATTGAAAGCTAATGTACTTGCAGGATTTTTTTGATGGTGTTATATGGTGTATGTTTTGTTAAAATGCGATCAACCTGCCCGGGACTGCAGATGCAAATTGGTCTCTAAGGTTACATCTGTCAACATGATGGACTCAAGAGCTCATGTTAGGGAATGACAATGTGACACTGTACTTGTATGCACTTGTCTTGTAACTCCTATATCACTAAATAAATAACTAACTAAATAAATACATTTTAAAAAGCAGAAATCCTACATATATATTCTGTATTTTGTAATTGCTGTTGTCTAATTTTTCTTTTTCTAATGTACTTCTAGTCATTTTATTTTACATGTTGTGTATTAATCAATAAAAATGTGATCACAACATTTAAAAGAGCAGAAAGTGCCCGTACCGAGGTCCTGTCCGTGCGCGCGCTCGTTGCCCTGCACGTAGAGCAGAGAGTATCCGTCGTAGATGGGGCTGGTTCCCTCGGGGCAGAACGGCACTTCCTGTCCCTGACTGTGACGAGTGATCAGGAAGCCGTGGGCTGCAGACCCTGATCCTGGAGGACCGGGGAGACCCTGAGGACCGTCAGAACCAGTGGGGCCGGGGATACCACGCGTGCCTGGGATCAGGGGACAATACATGGTTTAGAAAAGTGGGAGCAGTGGTTCAGGATCTTAATTTATAAACACCACGGCCCCTGGTAGACACACACACACACACACACACACACACACACACACACACACACACACACACACACACACACACACACACACACACACACACACACACACACACACACACACACACACACACACACACACACACACACACACACACACACACACACACACACACACACACACACACACACACACACCACACACACACACACACACACACACACACACACACACACACACACACAATAATGGGGGTTACCTTGGTTGCTGATTGGCTAATGGTTACACAAGCCAAAACATCGTTATGACATCATAAAGTGGCCAAAATCTGATCAGCTCATTTTCAGACAGGTTTTTATAGAAATGGATCAAAAGAGAGAGAATCTTTGTTCCTGAAACTTTCAGAGTCTCTTTCCACAGAGGGGACACATGTTGATGTAGAAGAGACATGAAGAAGAGGGGACACATGTTGATGTAGAAGAGACATGAAGAAGAGGGGACACATGTTGATGTAGAAGAGACATGGAGAAGAGGGGACACATGTTGATGTAGAAGAGACATGAAGAAGAGGGGACACATGTTGATGTAGAAAAGACATGGAGAAGAGGAGACACATGTTGATGTAGAAGAGACATGAAGAAGAGGGGACACATGTTGATGTAGAAGAGACATGGAGAAGAGGGGACACATGTTGATGTAGAAGAGACATGAAGAAGAGGGGACACATGTTTGATGTAGAAGAGACATGAAGAAGAGGGACACATGTCGATGTAGAAGAGACATGAAGAAGAGGGGACACATGTTGATGTAGAAGAGACATGAAGAAGAGGGGACACATGTTGATGTAGAAGAGACATGAAGAAGAGGGGACACATGTTGATGTAGAAGAGACATGAAGAAGAGGGGACACATGTTGATGTAGAAGAGACATGAAGAAGAGGGGACACATGTTGATGTAGAAGAGACATGAAGAAGAGGGGACACATGTTGATGTAGAAGAGACATGAAGAAGAGGGGACACATGTTGATGTAGAGAGAGATGAAGAAGAGGGGACACATGTTGATGTAGAAGAGACATAAAAAGTGGATTATAGGTGACCTTTAAATTAGTTAAACCTCACTCACCGGGGCTGCCGGCGGGGCCCGTGTCTCCCTTCCTGCCGTTGGGTCCGCTGAAGCCAGGAGGCCCATCAGGACCAGAATCTCCGGGGCCACCAGGCTGACCTGAGAACAGTCAGAGAGAGGAGATGAACAAAACAAATCTGAACTACTTTTTGAGAGGTTTTTTGTGGCATTTGACCAATTTCTATATTTGTTCTTCTTTATTTATCTATGCGTGAGTGGATAGGGTGTTCACGTTTTCTATTGTTCTGTTTTATTTTATTTAAAATGTACTTTATTTTCTAGTACATGTTCAAAAAGTATATTGTTTTCCTTAAATGTTTATGAATGTATGTATAGATATCGTAGTTGTACGAAGCTTTGGCAATACTGTATGTCTTATGGTAATGCCAATAAAGCTATTTAACTTAAATTGAATCGAGTGTTGTTATTGGATTTAAAATATTAAAAAAATAAACAAGTGATTGACCACAGTCTTAGAAACTCAATGCCAAAAGAAACCTGAAATAGTAAAAAGTAAAATAAAATAGAAAAAATGTAATTGCTGTTGTCTAATGTACTTTTAGTGCTGTTAGTTTTACATGTTGTGTATTAATCTCAAATAAAGAGTCCATATTCCCTCACCTGTAAGTCCCTCACGCCCAGGTGAACCAGGTGTTCCTCGACCTCCAGGCAGGCCTGAGGGTCCGGGGGGTCCGCGCTCTCCCTTCACCACGATGGGAGTGGGAGAAAGACCGGGGTCACCAGGAGGGCCTGAGAATCAAATGTTATACAAAATAAATCAGTTTGAAATAATTTTGCAATCCCAATTTGAGATCCCACATATTTTGAGACACTTAATCGGCATATCTAGATATTTTGTGTTAGATTTAATGACATTTCAGTTCCAGTTAAGACTCTAAATGTGATCACCCACCGGGGCCTCCGGCATCTCCAGGATCTCCGTTGAGGCCGCTGCCGCCAGGAAGTCCAGAATCTCCCTTTGATCCTGGAAGAAACACGAGGACATTAATGTTGGGGCTTTGCTTTTGGTTATTCAACAAGACATAAATAAAAATTGTACTGTTCCAATATCAGAGTAACATGATAACAAAGGTATCCCAACTGTAGCTGTGTACATGGCAGGATGTGTGATTACCTAGAATTAATTAACATGATGATTCAGCCTCTATGGAGATAGACATATGACAAGCATGCTCATTTCTGACGTGGAGCTAATCTGAAGTAAACATTGAATAGTGCTTTCTACTCCTCCATCTTGTGACGGTGTAACTCCCTCTCTTGGATATCAGCATGTGAAGGACACTGTTCAGGAACTAGTTGATGGTCTGTATGGCCGTTGTGTCCTTGGGCAAGACACTTTACCCGCATTTGCTCCTGTGGGTAATGTCCGCAGTAATGACTCTTACATGTCTAATATGTGTAATGTGTACTTGTAAAGCGCTTTGAGCACCTGTAAAAGCGCTCTAATAAAAAATGTAATGCATTATTATTATGTGATGACTACTTCCATTCTGGAGAGGATCACAGATACATGGATCCTGAGGTTGAAGCTCAAGCCGGTGACCAGTGAGATTTTTCTAACAGTTAGTCAAAAGAAAAGTGGACTAACCAGGGAAACCAGGAACGCCGGGAAGACCGATATCTCCCTTCAAACCAGAGCCGCCGTTAAGACCAGATGTACCCTGGGAAATAAAAAATACAGTTACATCTCCGTCCCGTTTCTCATCCCAACTACAAGTGAACAGGATTAGAAAAATGATCTTACTGGGAATCCGGGACCACCACTCTCTCCCTTCTGTCCTCCAAAGCCTGGCTGACCAAGAGCGCCGGGAATACCCCTATCTCCCTTAATGCCGCCACTTCCTGGGGGACCACGAGGACCCTGGGGCCCACCTTGACCTTCATAGGCGAACGGAAGAAAGGAAAAAGTCAGAAACAATTTTACAGACAAGTTTCCTCTCCTTGTATTCTCACCAGGATCAGTTCAGCTTCCATTTATCTTGTCAAAAGTGGGATTTCAGTTATTTTATCAACATATTCAGATGTTTTGTTGCTATTGGTTGACAGACTTAGCTTTTCTTAATGTCGATTAATAACTGAAAACGTAGTCGTCAACCATATTCTCACTTATTATTTTTTAACTGTTTTAATGGAAACTGAACTGAGCGTTTTTTCTTGAAAAAATGCAGCAGAGTCAAAGCCTGCACTTACTCTTCAATACTTATGCACTTACTCTTCAATACTATATATATATATGTAATAATTATACATCTAACACAAAGATAATATCATGTCAACTACAATTTCATTCAAGGAAAACTAGTTTCACAACCCAATTTTTACTGGCTAAGAAATTCATAATAGTAGATAAAATATCATAGTAATGTTACTAGTGAGGTTAGCTTCTTCAATAATTCAAGATGATTTGTTTCCTGTAGAGCAGCTTTACCTCAGAGAAAACGTTCTATATCAAACTTGTAAAAGAAAAGAAAAAGACAAGAAAATAAATAAAACAACACAATTCTTCCCCATTAAAAATGGCAGTAAAACGTCCAAATGAAACTCATTAGTAAAACAATTGGAGTAAATTATGATTATGAGCAGTCTTGAGTGTCCAGCCTGTCCTGTAGGGTAAAGAAATGGTAAAAAAACACACCTTTTCACTTATTCTCACACACCAGTATACCACATATGACACATATATAAGACAGCATGTATTAAAGCCACCCTGGAGTCTAACCTGGAGGACCTAGGTTTCCCAGAATTCCCAGGTAAAACGGAGCCGGGTTGACGGCACAACAATTGCAAAAAAAGAAGAGGGGGTTTAGACAGAAGCAAGCTTCAGTACAGAAACACAAGTCACACTAAACAAGATGCATTGCCTTTAACAAGAGAGGAGGTATTAACTAAGGTTTAATGCTAAATATACTGACACTGTGCAGCTGTCGTTACTTTTCTTACTTAAAAATCAAAGTGCTAAGGTAAAAGTGCTACGGTCTCAACATTTGCTCCAAGCTAAAGGTTAAGTTAATGAATTATATTAATCCCCTGGAGGTCACACGGTAGAAAAATATACTAATTTGTGTTCTAAAATAAATAAACTATCCATCTATAGTGCTATCATGTCAAAATGTATCATTTCGACGAAATAGCTGCAAAACCAGTGAGATTCCCCATCATCCTCATCCTCTGTTTAGTGCTAATTAGCAAATGTAGCATGCTAACATGTTAAACTAGCACAGCTGGTAATCAGTAATTATTTGTAACTGATGTGTAATGCCTGTAAATATGCTGCTGTGACACACTGCCAATTTGGGATGAATATCGTAGATCTAATATTATCTAATCTAATCATCTGCATGTTAACATTGTCATTTTTAGCGTTGTCATTGTTAGCATGTAGCATTTAGCATGATAACCTTTTGCTCAAGTCACAGAGCTAGCGTGGATGTATTTTCTACCAAGTGACCCTCAGAAAGAACTGAGCTTGGAGAACATTTTGGATTTAAGAGATACTGCTTGTTGCTATCACTAAAACTTTAAAGTACCAGTATATTTAAATACAAATAATGCTTACAAACACATTTCAGTGAAATCCAACAAAACTACAATTATAGTATGTGACAGTAAAAGTAAAATCATTGATTTTCAAGGTGAGTTAGTTTAATTATGATGTGGTTTTGTGCACAAATTATAAGATATTGTATGCATAACACATTCTGCATATTATATTTGAATTTTACAGAATGATTCATGTTAATCTTGCCAGAAAACGGTGAGTTTAAAATTACTACAGTGGATTATTGTTTTTTATCATGACTTATTTTTCATAAAAAGGTGCTTACTTGTTAAAAGGGTGCATTAAACTACCATCAGAGTGCATGGAAAGTGAAAGAAAAAGGTAATTAGAAGGAGAAATAAAGGTAAATGCAGTGATTTCCCAGAAGAAATGTGTTCCCTTTAGATCAGAGAGTGTAACAAGTCAGACAGTGGTTCTGTAAAACGTGCAGCAGACGTTTCAACGTCGTTCATCTGACCTGTTGGACCTGCAGCGGTGGATAGTCATCACACGAGGGGGCGGGGCCACAGGAAACACAGGTGGTAAAATATACATAGCTTCATGTTGTCACCGGACACCCAGAAAAACACTTGAGTGTTTTTTCAAAAGCCTAACACAGTGCCGGTGGTGTGTGGACAGCGCTGACATTTACTTTCAAAGGAATCAATATTGTGAATAAAAGGGCACAATATATTAAAGTTAAGGCTTATAGTGTGTTTGAGTTGCTAAAAAATGACTTCTAATCTAATCTTTTACGTTTTTGTAATTGTCTTTTTATTGAAAACCATTGCACTGGATGCTTGTATCTTCCTAGAAGGTGTGTGTCAGGGAGGTCCACCATTTCCAGCAGTGTGTTAGGTGTACCTTCAACTTGTATGTGTGTGTGTGTGTGTGTGTGTGTGTGTGTGTGTGTGTGTGTGTGTGTGTGTGTGTGTGTGTGTGTGTGTGTGTGTGTGTGTGTGTGTGTGTGTGTGTGTGTGTTGGGACAGACAGTGTCCATGCAGATGGTTGATTTGGTGGGACAAAAAACACAAGACAGCAAAGCCTGATGCAAACCCAAAAGCTCAACTTTTAACTAAAGTTATTGTAGTAGGGTAACAAAAATATCCGATCCAAAAGATACGATAGTTGTCTTAACCAGTTATTTTGATTTAAGTTTTGTTCTTTTTACATGAAAGATTTCTGTATATTTTTTTATATGTAGCAGCTTATCTTAGTTTTAAAGTGTTGGTAATTAATACTTATTTTTGATAGTTTCTTTGTTTAGTCAATTAGCTTTGAGATGATTGACAAAAGGGCGGCTGTGTACTGAATCCCATTAAATAAAATGTACAAAACCTATCTTTAACTTTAAGATGCAAGTAGAGTTTTTCTTTGTCTCAGGCTCAGCTGTTTCACACCAACATTTCAATGATCCAACACGACCACAAACACACACACACACTGGTTACAATGAAAACACACACATGAACAGTACATCATGGCTGTGGAGAGATGGATGGATTACAGCTTTCCTCATTGTGGGATCGGGAAAAAGGGGACAAGGTGTGAGGAAGACATGAGGACGAAAGAAATGGTGGATAAAACACAAATAACTGGATGATGTTGAGACAACAAAGTGCTGTAAACACATGCTCATTTTGGGGTCAAACTCCCGTGACAAACAGTGATTGGTGCGTGACGAGCACCACGACAATTCCTGGTGAAAATGGATTTTGATCATCCGTGCTCAGTGTTGTTGACAATGACTCGACAGGTGGTGCTCAAACAGTGATAAAACGTCCCATGCAAATCAACTGACATGGAGATGAAAGCATTCACATTAACAAGTGCAGTTTCTGCCGTTTGCTGCCTGGTTTTCGCAGGTTAGGAAAACCAAATAAACTACATTTTAAATAATCTTAATGCAACGGTAATGTATTTCCTTTAGTTTGTAAATATAATGTTTGTACAAATTACGTACAGGATTCTGCTGGTTTTGTACGTTTGAGACGAATAACTACACGCTGCATAAGGCAGACATTTATTTATCTATTAAAAAGAACAATCATAGCTTTTACACTTAAGTAACATTATAGACCTGTTTGTAATACTCTCTAACAACTGCATATTAAGACTATTCTAGGTGTGAAATATACCAAAATATCCATTTAGATATTCTTTAAGATTCGATCGGAATTTACAAGAAATAAAAACACAAGGAGATTTTCTGTGAATTTTTGTTATAAATTTGCACAAAAAACCCTCACATTTTTTTTTTAATGTCAAGGAACCACGTCGAATAATTTAGCCAAGTTTGAACAACCCTATCTTTTCCCAGATGCCATCCCAATGAATGCTTTTCTCTGAACATTACCACCCCTCATACCAGCCCTCAAATCAGAAAACCAGGCAGCAATTTTTCTGGCAGCACATGTGGAGACAAATACGTATTTTCGGATGCTTTACCTGCTCTTCCGGGGGGTCCAGGGGATCCTGAGAGTCCTTTGGGGCCCTGCAGAGCTAGACCTGGAGACCCTGAAGGGCCACTGTTGCCTGAGGGACCAGGGTTTCCGGGAAAACCAGCATCTCCCTTAGATCCGGGAAAACCAGGAGTGCCAGATGGGCCAGGACCACCGGAGTCTCCCTTTGAGCCTGAGAGGGAAATAAAGTAAAGATAGTTAGGGTTTTTTATATTTTATATTTTTATCACTACTGTGAAAAAGCGCTTCGAAATCAAATGTATTATTATTATTATTATTACTATTATTATTATTATTATTATATTAGGGCTGCTGTCCACAAATTAAGAAGGTCATTAGTTGGTGGTAAAATACACATGGCTTTTGTCACCCATTTTGTTTTTTCAAAAGCCTAACACAGTGCTGGTGTGTGGACAGTGCTGACATTTTCTTGCAAAAAATCAATATTGTGAATAAAAGGAAACAAGTTATTAATTGTGAGGTTTAGAGTGTGTTTGAGTTACTAAAAATATGACTTTGTTGTATTGTCTTTTCAGTGAAAACCATTGCACTGGATGCTTGTATATTCCTAAGGTGTGTGTGTGTGTGTGTGTGTGTGTGTGTGTGTGTGTGTGTGTGTGTGTGTGTGTGTGTGTGTGTGTGTGTGTGTATGTGTGGTCTAGCATTACTATACTTGTGGGGACCTACATCTGTTTACATAGTCACGTGTGGGGACAAATTGGAGGTCCCCATGAGGGGAATCATTAATTTTAGGGTGAAGACTTGGTTAGGGTTAGGGTAAGGTTTAGGGTTAGGCATGTGTTGGTTATGGTTAAGGTTAGGATAAGTCTCCAGGAAATGCATGTAAGTCAATGTAATGTCCCCTGAAGTGATGTATACATGGTATGTGTGTGTGTGTGTGTGTGTGTGTGTGTGTGTGTGTGTGTGTGTGTGTGTGTGTGTGTGTGTCCATTATCATTCAGTGGGTTGTTGCTCACCGGGCAATCCTGGAAGTCCGGAAGCGCCGGGTCCACCGTAACCTGGAAGACCTGGAGAAGACGGGAAACAGAAGTTAATTTAGTCAAAAATGTTAGGGATGGGAATAAAAAAAGAAAAGAAAAAGGTTTTAATAATAAATAAATGTTCTAATAAATATAGAATTTGTCCAATTTATTGAACGGGTGACCACAGTTTGAAAACTCAAGGTTTTATGTTTGAATTGTATGTGGTTAAGCATTGAGCTAGTTGACCTATGATACACTAGTTTAACTTTGCATAGTTTGCACTCTACACCGCCCTCACTAACCTGGTCGAAATATTTCCACACTTTACTCCGTTTTGACGCCATGTTCGTTGTGTAGGACTCTCCGTTAAAGTGTAACGTTACACATGTTTAAGATATTTAAAATGGCACTGTCGTATACATTTAATTAATCCATTTGATAATATGTAATCAACTTAGGCACCCCTCCCATAAACATAAAAAAATACAATAAATTACAATAAAAATATTCATAACTCATATTCGAAAACCTGAATCATTTTGAATATTCGATTAATCATTCCCATCCCTACGAAATATGTTATCAATTCTAATTGAAAGTGTAGTTTTTCTTCTTATCAGTTGTCTTACCTGGGTCTCCTTTGACTCCAGCTGGTCCTGGGATCCCGTCCCGACCCGCCTGACCCTTGTCTCCGGGTTGTCCTGGACCTCCTGATCTTCCAGACTCTCCTGGTCTACCTGGAGCTCCAGTGAGACCAGGACCACCGGAACCGCCGTCCAGACCCTTAGGACCGGGAATACCGGGGGAACCTAAGAGGAGACGGAGACAACGCATCGGTTAAGGTTGCTCTGTTTTACCGTATCAATAGCATTGAAGATATGCATTGAGTGCACTTTTTCCACCCATTGTCTTTTTTCATGTTTTCCACATTTCAAGCAAATACAGAAAAAGAAGTACAGTCAAGTAAAGAAGTACAACATTAAAAATTAAAAAAAGGTTCCTCTCTGTTCAGTTCTTTCCACATATCCTCATTTTTCAGAAAATCTGTAAAAGGATCCCAAATAGAATTAAAGGCCTCTTGATTTTCTTTAATAGTGTAAGTAATGTTTTCCGAAGAGAGACAGGAGGACATCTCATTAATTGTACAGTTATGTTATAGTATTGTTTGACGGCAAGGTGTGTTTACTTCACCCACGTCATCTGCTTTCATGACTTCTGAGTAGGGTTGGGAACCGAAACTCGGTTCCAGATGAGAACCGATAAGAAAATGCCGGGTACCGGGTACCCATACAAAATACACAATTTCGGTTCTGCTTAACGGTTCCTAAACGCGGTAGACCCTGTATTCCAGCGGGTCCGTCTGCGCTGCGGTGACCCGGTGGAATACAGGGCGGACCTGGAGAATCACAGAACGGCCGGTCGTCAGCGGGCCGTTGACGGCCGGCTCGGTACGCTGACGGCCGGCACCGCCCTTCATTTTTTTAAACGGCATCATATAAATTGCGCTGACAGGCGACAGAGGTCCACAGTTGCCCCGCAGCGATGCTCCCCCGCCCTCCCGTAGACATTTCACGAGCTCAGTCACTTCATAACACCAAAGATAGGTCGCGGTAAACACTCTGAAGTGAGGCTCCACTACACTAAAAAAGAAAAAGAAAAGGCAAAGTGTAATGCCTGTTAATAGCTTGCCACAGGCAAAGCTCAGTTAAAATAAAGCACAGCTATTGTGCAATACATTTGTATTGCATGTATATTTTTTAGTAACAATTTCAGTTAAAGCTTTTAAGAATAAATATATTTTTGTTATCTAAACGTTTGACCTCTTTATTTTACAATTTTGGAATCGAAACGGGGAATCGATAAGAACCGGAATCGATAAGCAGAACCGGAATCGAAATCGGAATCGATACATTTCAAACGATACCCATCCCTACTTCTGAGTGACTTTCTTAAAGGTCCCCTATTATACTGTTTTTCATCAATATAGTACAGGTCTCAGATATATCCAAACATGTCTCTGATTGGCTGAAACACCAAACACATCATTGCAGCATTACCCATAATCCCCTCTGTTTCAGCCCTGTTTCCAAAGTGCTGATTCTCTGTCTGTTACTTTAGATGAAAATAATGAGCCCCTCCCCACGCCCCTCTGAGAGACATTTGGTCACAAAGAACTCAATGGTGCTCTAGGAGGAGATTCAGGTGATAAGGAGGGGGGGGGGGTTACCTTGGTTACTGATTGGCTAATGGTTACTCAAGACAAAACATCGTTATGACATCATAAAGTGGCCAAAATCTGATCAGCTCATTTTCAGACAGGTTTTTATAGAAATGGATCAAAAAGAGAGAGAATCTTTGTTCCTGAGGGGACACGTGTTTATGTATAATAGGTGACCTTTAAAGCTTTATTCAAACTTCAGACGTACCTTGGAATCCTGGCAGTCCGGGGTCTCCTTTGGATCCTGGTCCTCCTGGTCCTCCTGGTTGACCTGAAGATCCTGGAGTTCCTTTAAGTCCTGAATTTCCTGGGAAGCCTGGCTGACCTGTTTCACCCTGTGGGACACATTTCAAAAAGATTAAAAGCTGACCTAAAATGAAACCAGCACACCTTGAAAAGTTTAATAAAAAAAGAAAACATTGATTCCACCTTCAGATATAAAAAATAAAAACACAGAGACAGCAAATTATATTAATAACAATAAGTAAATAAAATGGCAGGTAAAAACGGATCAGTAAGTACAAATATAAATAAGAATATATGTAGAAATAAATCAAAACATTAAAAGACAGATAATTTTGGAAGTTGTTGAAATAATCTATCAAACATTGCCATTTCTTATAAAAACCGTCTACAGACCCTTTAAGAGCATATTTTACCTTCTCAAGTTTCAGAAAGAATACCAGGTCTTTAAGCCAAATAGAGTCAAATGGGATAGGACTAGGGGTGGGAATCAGCAGGCCCCCCACGATACGATACTATCGCGATACTTAAGCCACGATAGTATTGCGATTCTACGATATGCTAAGTATTGCGATACGATATATTGCGATATTGCAAATCACATTGGTCGTGTCCATGTGAGTATTCCCTTACTGGTTAAAACATGTATTTGCAATATGAATAGTTTATGTACAAAAAACCAATTTGTGTTCTTTGAACCTGAAAAGGAGATTTGTGTTTGAGATTTGAGACATGCTTTTATTTGAAGGCGACTTTGCGCTATTAGCAGGAAGTTACTGTTCCCAAAGCAAAAACTTGACGGAGATAAAGTACAGATATTAACAGAGATATCAACATTTAAATACGGTGATATCAAAAGATAACGTTTACATGTAAGTATTAGCACCCCTCGAAGAGGCACAGGGTTAGTGTTAACTGTGGTTTGTGTCTTAATTCGTTTATATACTGTATTATAACTTTGCTAACTATTTGAAGTTCACTTGTTTAATGGTATTCTAAAATAATACTCATATGGATGTAGCTTAAATGTATTTGTTGTTTTGTGTCTTTGTGTAGCTCTTACGTTGGTTTTTGGAGTTGGAGTGTACGACCCTCTTTCCGAGGGATATGCTACAGTTTCTATAATAAAATATCGATCCTTGGCATCCGTGTATCGATACAATATCGCCACGCGATACTATATCGATTATTTCCCCCACCCCTAGATAGGACATTTCTACGGTTGAGTCCTTTACCTTAAGTCCTCCGGGTCCGGGGGGTCCGACTCCAGCAGATCCGGGTTCACCTTTAGATCCGGGGAAACCAGATCCTCCGGGTTGTCCTGGACCTCCTGATCTACCTGGCTGACCTGACAGACCCTTCTGTCCTGATGGTCCTGTGACATCATCAAAGTGAGACATTAGCATTTTTGAAAACAACTTTTTAGTAGACCCTTTTTTTGCTTTATCTCAATCTCAATCTTTATTTATTTATATTGCACATTTAAAAACAACCTCAGTTGACCTGAAGTGCTGTAGAGGGAACAAGTACAACATAAAATAACACAATAGGAGTAAAATAATAAAACAATAATTAAAAACAAGATAAAAAGCACAATAACTAGAAACATATTTGTATTTCCACATGTATATCTTTTTACTTTTTAATGCTATTTTATTTCTATTTCAGAAATATTTTGGATTGTTTATTTCTAGTGTCTTAATTTCTCTATGTACATTGCCTTGTTTTTTATGCTGCTGCAACGCAAACATTTCTCGAATTGGGATCAATAAAGTATCTATCCATCTGTCTGTCCATCTATCTATCCATCTATCTATCTATCTATCTATCTATCTATCTATCTATCTATCTATCTATCTATCGAGCTAGCTAGCCATCCATCCAGCCAGCCAGCCAGCCAGCCAGCCAGCCAGCGAGCCAGCGAGCCAGCGAGCCAGCGAGCGAGCGAACGAGCGAGCGAGCCAGCCAGCCAGCCAGCCAGCCAGCCAGCCAGCCAGCGAGCGAGCGAGCGAGCCAGCCAGCCAGCCAGCGAGCGAGCGCGCCAGCCAGCCAGCCAGCGAGCGAGCGAGCCAGCCAGCCAGCCAGCCAGCCAGCCAGCCAGCCAGCCAGCCAGCGAGCGAGCGAGCGAGCGCGCAGCCAGCCAGCCAGCGAGCGAGCGCGCCAGCCAGCCAGCCAGCGAGCGAGCGAGCCAGCCAGCCAGCCAGCCAGCCAGCCAGCCAGCGAGCGAGCGAGCGAGCCAGCCAGCCAGCCAGCGAGCGAGCGCGCCAGCCAGCCAGCCAGCGAGCGAGCGAGCCAGCCAGCCAGCCAGCCATTCCAGCAGCCAGCCAGCCAGCGAGCGAGCGAGCCTAGCCAGCCAGCAGCCAGCGAGCGAGCTCGCCAGCCAGCCAGCTCAATCTATCTATCTCTCCTATCCATCCATCCATATCCATCCATCCATCCATCCATCCATCCATCCATCTATCTATCTATCCATCCATCCATCCATCCATCCATCCATCCATCCATCCATCCATCCATCCATCCATCCATCCATCCATCCATCCATCCATCTCTCCATCCATCCATCCATCCATCCATCCATCCATCCATTCTGATTCAGAACTGAGTTCAAACCCACCTGGGAATCCCATTTCTCCCATGCTGCCCTTTCCTCCAGGACCTCCAGAACCACCGGGGCCTCCTGGGATGCCAGAATCTCCCTTTGGACCTTTAGTAGAGAGGAAAAACATGTTAGGTTGCTGTTATGTTAAATGTTTGGTGTTTGTTTTTCATGTATTGTGTCTGTTAGGTGCCCCGATAAACATTCCTATTGTCATCTTGCAATCTACTCATTTATATAAATAGTTATCACCGCAATAAACCGTATTTAATTTACATTATTTAACTCCAAACCAAATCATTCAAAACTAATTTGATATTTAAAAAATGTTCAATCTGAAGTTATCAAAATGTATTTTTCTTTCCCTTTTTCTTTATTTACTGTATGTAATGTCTTGTTGCTTTGTATGCCTGTCCCTGGACTTGGTTGTATGTAAACATGTGTGATGCTCATGTATGATATTGAATAGATGAATAATAAAAAAATAAAGAAAACAATAATGAAAAAAAAAACAATAATAATGTGTGTGTGTCTTTGTGTGTGTGTGTGTGTGTGTGTGTGTGTGTGTGTGTGGGGGGGGGGGTATGTGTGGTCTAGCATTACTATACTTGTGGGGACCTAAATCTGTTTACATAGTCACGTGTGGGGACTGGCCTCCCTTATGGGGACAAATTGGAGGTCCCCATGAGGGGAATCATTAATTTTAGGGTGAAGACTTGGTTAGGGTTAGGCATGTGTTGGTTAGGGTTAGGATAAGTCTCCAGGAAATGCATGTAAGTCAATGTAATGTCCCCTGAAGTGATGTATATATGGTATGTGTGTGTCAGAGTTCCCGTTAGCCGGTAATTACCGGACTACGACCGGTAAAATATGTTGAAGACCGGCAAATCTAAATCTCTCCGGTCAAAGTGTCCGTTCAAAAATAATTTCCATTTAGCGCAATACCACATCAGTTGCGCAACTTGCGCCATTTATGTGACAGACAAGAATAGTCAATTCTAATGTCTAACACTTAATGTGGAGAAAGAGATATCCTGTATGGGTTGATTGTGCGTTGATCTGTTGGTAATGCCTCGGGGTTCCGGTGGGCATGTAAACAAATGCATAATGCTACGCTATACTTTGCGGCCTCACCCAGTTGCATAGCGACGCTTATTGTTTAGGTGTCTTTTAATAAGCAGGTAGTCATATCATTAGCTAGAACTAGCTGGATCTGATCGATATGGACATAAACGCGAGTGAAGTCTAATCTGACGGGAGAGAGAGATCAGCTGCTGCTGACGAGTCGACACGCAGCTCTGCATGATCACCTGCAGCGGTGAGCGAACAAAACACACACTTCAGGTTAGAATATCACACGTAGCTATTTTAATGACCTCTCAAACTACCTAAACTAGTTATAGATATGTTTAGTTTTACTGTCGGGTCACTCATTACTGATCCTCGAGCTGCATGATACTGACAGGAGAGGGAGAGAGCTCCGTTTATTATTCCCGTGTTATTATAAATTCCTGTACACTTTTGAATAATGTAGTTAATCTACTATAATTAGTTTGTTTAATATCGAATCATATCAATTTGTTTTAAAGCACAATAAATAACAAAGAAGACCTTTGACCGGCACTTTTCTCATTTTGTCCGGAAGATTTAAACTTTAACGGACATGTTGACCGGCGAAAACATATTCTAACGGGAACTCTGGTGTGTGTGTGTGTGTGTGTGTGTGTGTGTGTGTGTGTGTGTGTGTGTGTGTGTGTGTGTGTGTGTGTGTGTGTGTATGTGTGTGTGTGTGTGTGTGTGTGTGTGTTGGGAGTTAAACGCATACCTGGTGGTCCGGGGAGTCCAGGGCGACCGTCTGATCCTGAGAGACCGGGGTCACCTGACAGACCGGGGACACCTTTCTGACCGGAAAAACCTGGTCCACCTGTAGAACAAACACAGAAATAAAGATTATTCAACAGTGGTGCAGGAATGACTCTTAAAGGTCCCCTATTATACTGTTTTTCATCAATACATCACAGGTCTCAGATATATACAGAACCTGTCTCTGAAGTGTTTGGCTCCAAACACCAAACACATCATTGCAGCATTACCCATAATCCCCTCTGTTTCAGCCCTGTTTCCAAAGTGCTGATTCTCTGTCTGTTACTTTAGATGAAAATAAGGAGCCCCTCCCCACGCCCCTCTGAGAGAGATTTGGTTACAAAGAACTCAATGGAGCTCTAGGAGGAGATTCAGGTGATAAGGTGGTGGGGGGGGGGGGGGGGGGGGTTACCTTGGTTGCTGATTGGCTAATGGTTACACAAGCCAAAACATCGCTATGACATCATAAAGTGGCCAAAATCTGATCAGCTCATTTTCAGACAGGTTTTTATAGAAATGGATCAGGACAAAAAGAGAGAGAATCTTTGTTCCTGAAACTTTCAGAGTCTCTTAATGCAGAGGGGACACATGTTGATGTAGAAGAGACATGAAGAAGAGGGGACACATGTTGATGTAGAAGAAACATGAAGAAGAGGGGACACATGTTGATGTAGAAGAGACATGAAGAAGAGGGGACACATGTTGATGTGCACTTTGCATGATAGGACACCTTTAAACCCAGAAATTAGTTAGCATTTTAGCACATATGGGCTCCCTTTTGTAGTCAATGTCTTTTGGTTGAGTGAAGGTGTTTGGTTTTATCCATACCTGGTAGTCCAGGGTCTCCTTTGGTTCCCTTTGTGACGGACGGGGGCAGACTAGCTCCTGGAGGGTCCCGTAACGCCGGGGTCTCCTCTGTCTCCTTTTCCTCCGGGACCGCCGGGAGATCCGTCTCTTCCTGAGAATCCTGGTTCACCTGGAGAGGAGGACGGAGAATCAAGAGACGTTTAGCAGGGCATAGGGATGTTTTTTCTTTTTCATGGACTGCAGTCGAGTTTCTTCTCAGTTATATGAACAACAAAACTAAGATGGCGGCCCAACAACATCATCTGGGACCCAAAGCATGTTCTGAACAGTGAATATGAACTGCTACCATCTAATCTGAGATTCAATAAAGTCCGACTGAAGCATCCTTTGTGTTCCAGTCAACCCTCTCAGTGAACACAGAGCTGAATCCCAGATCAAATGCACGCTGAAGGCTCTTTGAGCAGGTTTTCTCTCACTGATTGTCCTGTTATGTTAAATGTTAGTTTTCCATGTATTGTGTCTTGATGTTTGTCCGTTGATGTTACACATGCAGCTGCTGTGATGCAAGTCACATTTCAGACTTGATCTGACCATTAAAGTATTATCGTATCGTAAGAAAAACAGGATGAATTGATCCTTTGTTCCTGTTAACCTGTATTTATAAATGTAAAAAGTGCAATGTAACTTGTGTCAGCTTACAGTTTTTTAACATGTATTGAGAACTTGAGGGCTTAATGAAAGAGTTATGAGTAAAAACCTTTAAATCCGGGTCCGCCGGGTCCTCCGGGGCCTCCTGGTCCCCCTGAGGGTCCTGGAGTTCCCATGGAGCCCATGTCTCCTTTCTGACCTGCAGGAAGTCACACAAAGGAGCAAAGAGAGGTTAGATTTAATTCAAGAATTCAAGATTCAAAGCTTTATTGTCATTTGTACAATAGTAAAATAATAAAACAATAATAAAAAACATGATTTTTCTGACATTTCACAGAGAAAATAACCCATTATACTGTAGATTCACGATGTTAGCATTAGATGTTACCTGGCAGTCCGGGCAGGCCGTCGCGTCCTGGCCCTCCAAGGGGTCCCGGGGTTCCCACTTGTCCCGGGGATCCTGGGAAACCGTTTCCTCCTCTCTCTCCTGGCAGACCGGGGATATCCAGACCTGGAGGTCCGGGGTCTCCCTTCCCTCCGTTTGATCCGGGGAATCCTGTAATCATGACATCAAGATTTAGGCTTTAAGCAGGAAAATAATTATTCTTTATGTGTTGGGGAAATACTGAATGTACTCTTCCAATATCAGAGTCCACATGATGACAAAGGTATCCCAACTGCAGCTGTGAACATGACAGGATGTATGATTACCTAGAAGATCATCAGGACTGTTTTAGGCATATGATAGCTATGTGATTAACATGATGATTCAGCCTCTATGGAGATAGACATATATATATATATATATATATATATATATATTAGGGCTGTCAGTCGATTAAAATATTTAATCGCGATTAATCGCAAATTAATCGCACATTTTTGATCTGTTTTAAATGTACTTTAGAGGAATATTTTTCAAGTTTTTAATACTCTTATCAACATATGAGTGGACAAATATGCTTTATGCTAATGTTTATTATCATTTGAACAATGACAAATATTCTCATGAATATTAAACACAACAATGTGTGTGTGTGTGTGTGTGTGTGTGTGTGTGATGGATCGTTGGAGCTATGTGCAACTCAAGGCATATGCTCGAACGGGAGCTGCCTGGACGCTGCAATCATGTTGCACTATCCGTGCTGAGTGTGCTGACTTCTCGTACAATGTCCCACTGTCTGGCTTCCTGCATAAAGTCAAGTGCTCGGCGCAATTGTCGGCGAAATGTCGCTCCTCTGTTTTCATTTAAGCAGCTCCTTATATCCGTTAGCGCAGCTAGCTAGCACCAGATGCTAACAACAACAATACACGTAAGGTGTGCCTGTTCTCTCTCTCTCTCTCTCTCGCTCGCTCGCTCGCACCACACATACACACACCCTCCCGGTCCTCCCGATGGCCAGTCGGGGCCTGCCGGTGAGCGTGGAAGTGTGGTCTGCCGCAAGCGGACGGTAGGATGTCAGCATCAGCTTGTAGATGGTATTTAAACTCGATGCGCTCTGAAACTACGGGGCGGCCGAAGGCAAAAAATGCACATGCGTTAATTAAAATAATTAGTTGCGTTAATTTGTTAGCGTTATTAACGCGTTAACGCAACATTTTGAGATTTAGAGAAAAAGTCAAAATTTGAGAAAAAGTCAACATTTTAAGAAAAAGTCAGAATTTTGAGATTTAGAGAAAAAGTCCGAATTTTTTGAAAAAGTCAGAACTTTGACATTTAGAGAAAAAGTCAGAATTTTGACATTTTGAGTAAAAGTCAGTATTTTTTACATGACAGGATGTATGATTACCTACAAGAACCGGTACTCCTCCATCTTGTGACTGTGTAACTCCCTCTCTTGGATATCAGCATGTGAAGGACACTGTTCAGAAACTAGTTGATGCTCTGTATGTGATGACTACTTCCATTCTTGAGAGGATAATAAATACATGTATCCTGATTATTGAAGCTGAAGCCGGTGACGAGTGATATTTTTCTAACATTATGTTTCTGACCTGGTGATCCCATTGGTCCGGAGGGTCCGGGGGGGCCAGGCTGCCCCAGAGAGCCCGTGGTGGGGGATCCAGGTGGGCCGCGAGCTCCAGGTATTCCAGATGTTCCAGGGTCACCTGCACAGAGACAGGACAGAACATCAGCTTGGTGTATGCTTGGAGAGGTCAAAGCAATATGTCAAAAATAATATTAATATTGCAATATGAGGCGAGATATTTATTTGATATGAGATATGATATGATACTAAAATACTGTACAGTGACGAACCAGTATTTAGTATGATATGGTAATATAATTTCTTTGAAAATCGCCAATGATTAACCCTTGATTTTCTCCATATGGCTCTGTTGGCTTTAATACATTTTCAAGTATGCTTTGGCGTGTGTAAAGAGCATTAAACTACAAAATACCTTTGGATCCAGGACCGCCATCAGATCCAGATCTTCCAGGAGAGCCGGGGCCTCCAGAGAAGCCGGGGTCTCCCTTTACTCCGATGAAGCCTTTAGATCCAGGGACTCCTGGGAGACCGGGGGGGCCGGGTAGACCAAAACCAGGCTCACCCTGTCACACACACAGGCGGAAAAGTGTTAATTACATGCAAAGTATATCAAGTTCAAGGTTCAAGATTCAAAGCTTTTATTGTCATGTGTACATACAGTAGCTCCAGCGTAGTTATGACAATGAAAACCTTAGGTCACAGGCTGATGATATATGAGATACTTTGTGATGGATGATTCATTTTTATTGTTAATGTTTTTGAATTTCTTATGATATCTAACATGACCAATATTTTATTAGTCAATTTATTGAACATGTTGGAACAAAAAAAAACAATAATAATAATAGTTGAAGCTAAATGAAAAAAACCTTCAAGGTATATATATATATAAAAAAGAAAAAAATCTCATAGTTTCTGTCATGTTAAAAAGGGGCAAGACGAAGCATAACAACTTTTCTGGCCCCCTTCTAGCTTACATTGTTCATGAAAATAAAAGATTAGGTCATCGTCATCCGTGATATTATATAACACACTACAGGAGAGGGATACCCCAGAAAGTATAATATGGACCCCTTTAAAACATGATGTTTAGGCTTTTGTACAATAGCTATCATGGTGTTATTGTTTTGGATCTCACTTCCTGGAAATGTCTTGACCTAACTAAAGATTTTAAATGTTTTTCTTTCTCATTAATAAAGCACTTCATCCATCAATCTAACTAACTCTCAGTCGACATACCTTAGATCCAGGGAATCCAGGCTGACCAGGAAGTCCGTCCACTCCGGGTCTTCCTGGTCCTGCTGAAGGTCCGTTCTGACCGGGAATACCTGGGAATCCTGGAGGGGGAAAAGGGAATTGTGAGGATTTGACTGTATATACTGCTACTGGCTAACTTTACCTATATTAATATATGATAGTGTATTTGTAGCTGACGCTCGAAGTGCCCTTATGTATTGTTTTGTATTTTTGAAGAGTGCCTAATGTATGCTTGAACTTTGTTGTATCTCGTTATCTTTCCGGAAGTCATGTGACCTCTAGCCCCGGATGTTTACATTGTGTTAGTGAGAGAGTAAAACAGCGCAAAAAAAGTGTCAACAATGTTAATAACGTGCCTTTTCTACTGCTGGTCTACTAGGCGAACACGTTTTCACGGTGTTTCATTATTGTACCAAGAGGTAAATAAACGTGATTGTGGACTTCAGTTCGATGCGTAACGTTCTTTCAAGACCAGAGTAGTTACAGTATGTATATGCTGTATTAGCTATTATTCTGAATTTGTAATGTAACCAAAGCTACCAAAATGTAGCAAAATCAAAGTATAAAGTTGCATGATATATATAAATACTCAAGAGAAGTACCTTGAAATGGTACTTAAGTACAGTACTTGAGTAAATATACTTCATAGGTGTCCTATGGTCATTACCATCATTACAGAACACTCACTGCTATATAACATGTGCAATATTATCATTATTAACGTGCAATTACGTATCTGCCACTACGTTTTTTTGCACTACTAATTCATATTTACATTTATCACGTGACCGTCTATGTATCCTGTAGATATTAAATTGCTCTTTTTACTGCAGTGTATAGTATTATTGTTATGCTGCTGTGTTTATTGTATTTTTGTAACTCTGGCACAACAATTTCCTTCGGATAAATAAAGTCTTATCTAATCTTATCCTACCTTTTACTCCTGGGGGTCCTGGGAGTCCGATGCCAGGAAGTCCGGGGTCTCCCTTCATTCCCGGTAATCCCGGGAAACCGTTCTGTCCGGGCCCACCGGGGTTACCTGCAGATCAAACAACAGAAACACGAGTCAAAACCTGGATGCATGAAAGCAGATTTAAAATGTTTCATTGTTTTATTGGCTCTTAATGGTCTTGGTCCTAGCTGTTTACATGGTGAACAAACAAACAAACAAAAGGGGCAAATAATAAAGTAAGTTATTCTACTTATTCTTCTGTACAATAACAGTTGTGTACCTGGTGATCCGGGCGATCCTGAAGAGCCGTCCAGTCCTGGTGACCCTGATGATCCTTTCTCTGCAATTGCTAGACCGGGTTCACCTTTAGTACCTGAGAGGAGAGAGGAAGCAAGGAGAGGAGGTCAGTGAGGAGACTCTAAAGGATGCCAAGTGCTATAAAGAGATATCTGTACAACAAACTGGTACTTCATATTACACAAGTATGAATATAATGCAATACCCTACAGGGTAACTTGGAGAGGGTCCGAGTCTGACCCTTGTCAATTAACTACAGGGGTCCCTCAGGGCTCTGTTCTTGGTCCCCTCCTCTTCTCTCTGTACACAAACTCGCTCGGATCAGTCATTTGCCCACATGGTTTTTCATACCACTGCTACGCTGACGACACCCAATTAATTCTGTCCTTTCCCCGCTCAGAAACCCAGGTCGTCGCACTCTTGACCTAACAATCAACATCGGCCCCTCTGTTGTTTCCCCAACTCAGACTGCAAGGAATCCTAGATGACCCTAGATAACCACCTGTCTTTCACCGCAAACATCGCTGCTACAACCCGTTGCTGCAGATACACGCTTTACAACATCAGGAGGATTCGACCCCTCCTGACTCAGATAGCGACGCAGGTTCTGGTCCATGCTCTCATCATCTCACGTCTTGACTACTGCAACTCCCTCCTGGCTGGTCTACCTGCATGTGCCATCCGACCTCTGCAGCTCATCCAGAATGCAGCGGCTCGTCTGGTCTTCAACTTTCCTAAATGTTCCTACACCACTCCGCTCCTCCGCTCCCTTCACTGGCTTCCAGTAACTGCTAGAATCCACTTCAAGACACTGGTACTTGCGTACCATGCTGCGAATTGATCTGGCCCTTCCTACATCCAGGACATGGTTTAAACCGTACACCCCAGCGCGTGCACTCCGCTCTGCATCAGCCAAACAGCTCACTGCACCCTCGCTGCGAGGGGGACCCAAGTTCCCATCAGCGAAAACACGTGGTTTTGCTGTCCTGGCTCCAAGATGGTGGAATGAGCTCCCCATTGACATCAGGACAGCAGAAAGCTTACACACCTTCTAGACTGAAAACTCATCTCTTTAGACTTAACTTCAAGCAATAACATTACTAACAAAGAACTTATATACTAACAAAGGACTGGCTTATCTAAAGCCAGTTGAGTAGCACTTGAAATGTTTTGGCTCTATGAAACCTGATGTACTTATATGATTCTGTTTTCTTCAAGTTTGTATCTTCTTGGTCGAATGTACTTATTGTAAGTCGCTTTGGATAAAAGCGCCAGCTAAATGTAATGTAATGTATGAATAGTCCTATGGGAAGTCTAGCAGTGATTTTTCCACGATCTAACAGGCTTTTACTTGTTTAGCTTTCTCTGTTTTATTTTTAAAAGTCTAGAGGAGATAAACAACTTCCTGTGATCCTTCCAGATGTCCCATAATGTTAGAGTCTCGTCAGTTTCACTGGCCTATCAAACTATATAGATATGGATTCATTGTCTTTTCCTGGTCTTAGAAACACATTTCCTAAACTCACAGTATAAGAAGTGTTTTACCTTTTAATAAAACAAATAAACGATGTCCTCTTAATACAATAGCATTTCTTTCTATAATGTATTTATTTTTGGGATTTCTTTAGTTATTTATTTTTCATTTTTTTCCTTTGACGTAATTTATGTATTTATACTTTTTATTATTTGATTGCATGTGTGGAAAATGTGTTCTGTGTTTGGGATAAGTGGAAAAAAGGGGGTACATATTGGTATCATGCTCCTTCTTCATTGTGTTATGAAAACAATAAGTACATTTTTTAATTAAACTTACCGGGGGCACCGGGCCCTCCAGATCTTCCGGAGACTCCTTGGACACCTTTGTCTCCTGTAGACCCTTGAGGTCCGAAGCCCGGGGCCCCGCCAGGACCTCTGTCTCCTGGGTTACCAGAGGGACCTGAGTCACCAGGGGGTCCTCGCTCTCCTTTCACCAGCAGGGAACCCTGTCCAACACAGAGAAGTTAAACAACCATCAACTTATGAATCTTCTTCCCGTTTCAGATCCGCAAAGCTATTTCCGTTGACTCCTTCAAAAGAAAACTGAAAACCCATCTCTTCGCATCTGTCTTCCTTGTGAACTAATTTCCATCACCTTGTTTCGGCTCATCATTACCATCACTTCAGTCACATGCTTTTATCACATGGAAATACTTATGTTGATGTATAATGTCGTATAATGAATTTATAATTGTTATGCTATGACGTTTGCATTTGCTTTTGTTTGCTTTGTACAGCCCTTTTGAGGCATTTTTTATGATTTGGGGCTATAATACATTTAGATTTGATTTGATTAAAACCTGTTAAGCCCCGAGCCTGTTTTCCAGGTCTCAGGCTCGAAAATGACATTCCCAGAACAAATGACCATATCTTCCCTTCTAAAAGGGGAACATTAGTAATCTTTTTTCTCAAAGCAAGGTTAAACCTGTGCGTTGAATGTAGAAGAGTCAGAATCAATATAGATGTTTTTTATTTTAAAGTAAATTCAGATTGAACATAGTAAAAAAATTCAAATTATTGTGTCCGTCCAAAAAAAACACATTACTTATTGTGAAAACCAACATAACATATAATAAGTACCCTGTATCAAGATTGATGCAAAACAAGTGAAATTTGACCTTTTTAGAGAGATTTAGCAAAAACCACTTCTGGGGTCATTTGGGTGGATTTGACCTATCTCTGGCCCCCCTTGGTCGATTTTGATGATTGACATCTCTTTTTAACCGCTAGAGCCAATGAAATCGAGGGGAGGTTCCACACACACACACACACACGTTACCAAATAAGGAGTGAGTGTGAGCCAAAACCGGAGCTGCGACACACTCTGGTATCAGCTAATATTTATTCTCCGATTTTTGCCTAAAAATTGAATTATGGATTATCAATAATTTTTTCAAAGTGACAGACACATTGCTATAACCTATGGATTAACCTTCAGCCGCGTTTTTTCTCGTTTTAATGCCATTGAACACGACTTTTGATCAGAATAACAGCTAAGGTGAGCCTATCTCCGTGTTATGCTACCTAAAGCTACGTCGTGTGTTGTCTGTATTGTAAAATAAAACCCTCTCTCTTTTCCTCCGTACCCAAATCTCTAAAAACGATGGAACAATGGAGCTGATCCAGATTTGCGTCCGAAATGACGTAATATCGTCGGCGGACCCACGGCCCTATCAGAAACGTTGCTATCAGAAACAATGCCCAACAGTTTTGGACGTAATATGGTCGGTGTTTACATTAGCATCGCTAACACTCAGAGCTAACCTGTACTGGAGAGCATGTGTGTGAAGAAGCAGGAAATAAAAGGAACTCACCTTGTGGTATAACCGGCAAGAGAGAAAGCCTTTGAGCTCCAAACTGTTTCAGAGAGAATCCTTGATCTAATAATCATTAGATAAATTAATCACCGCAGCATTTTAGACAGTATCTGCCAGGTCCCGCATGAGCCAGCATAAGCTCCGCCCCTCTTATTTTATTTATATTTCAGTTAAAAAAAAAAGCTTAATTTTTGTATTTAACCTTTATTTATAGAGGTGAAAATCTCATTGAGACACAGGGTCTCATTCTCAAGAGAGACCTGTTTATACCCAGAATCAGCACTTTTGAAACAGGAAGTGAAATAGAGGGATATGAGGCATGGCTAGAATGGGTGACCTGTTTGGTATTTTGACCAAAACACTTCATAGACATGGTTTTCATATATCTGAGACCTATGCTATTGCCTAAAAATAGCATGATAGGTGACCTTTAATGTTTTTCAGCGACTGCTTTTCTTTTTATGTTCCAACAAGAACCCTTAGATCCTCCACTGCCCTGCTTTTAGAAACCCCAAGGGTATCACACAAGAGATCTGGGGATCTTTAGAACAGCACAATCCCTTGAAATGTTTCCAATGGCTTTTAATTTGGGTCAACTTTCAATTCTCGCTATAGAATCATTGTTCATGTTTTACTGTATTTTTTCAGTTTCGCTTTTATTTTACATTTTTAATATTCTTTTAAATTTGTTTTATTTTAACCTATTTTAATTTCGTGTCAGTTTTACTTCGAGGGAATTTCATGAGGATCACTGTAGATGTTTTATCTTTATATCTATCTTTATTTTCATCTTGTTCTGTAAAGCACGTTGGGCTTGAAAGGTGCTATACAAATAAAGTGTATTATCATTATTATATCATGGATGGACGGGTCTAATTGCTGGAGGGAAAGTCGCCTACCGGAGTTCCTTTGGCTCAAATTGTATTTGTAAAGCACCTTTTATTGCTAAAAAGTCATCCCAAAGTGCTGCAAGGGGCGTAATATAAAAAAGAAACACAAGTTTAATCAAAGGTTTTTTTTAAATAAAGGTTTTTAGACCCTTCTGAGCCGCCTACCGGAGTTCCTTTGGCTCCTGAGTTTCCGGGTTGTCCATCGCGACCGGGTCGACCGTCCAAACCGGGAAGACCGGGAGATCCGGGGAATCCGCTGTCTCCCTTCTCTCCCCGCCCACCGCTCACCGTGACGGCATCTCCGGGGTCTCCCTTCGGTCCGGGGAAACCTGGAGAACCCTGAGAACCGGAGGGACCCTGAGGAGAGGAACAGAGAAAGAGACAGTTTTTATTTAGTGAAACCCAAAGGAGACCTAACCATGGAAGATAAAAGACTACTATTGAGCTAAAGACTCTTCGCACTGGCTTTTAATACTAGTTGAACATTACATTTTTACATTTGTATGTGTTTTTATAAATGTTCTAGTTATTGTGCTTTTTATCATATTATTGTTTTACTCCCATTGTGTTATTTTATATTGTATAAAGTGTACAGTGTACATTGTACAGCACTGAGGTTGATTTAAATGTGTTATATAAATAAATAAAGATTGAGATTGAGATTCCCACAGCAGAAGCCTGGAGTGGTGTAAAAGCAGGTTGTATTGGACTTGATGTACCTCTTTTCATACATGTGACAAATGGGCCCTTAACTTTCAAACAGTCTCGTTTTAATGTGGTCTATAGGTATTTTAACAACTTCTAAATTATTACATTTTGTATTTGTAGTATTTGCATTTATAAATTGTCAACCCTGTGAAACCACTGAAGAAGAGAAAGTAAAAAGGTACGAACAGCGGGTCCAGAGGAGCCTGGAGATCCTGGGTATCCTCGGTCTCCTTTGACTCCTGGACCTCCGGGAGTTCCTGTTGGAGGAGAGGGAACGGATTAACAACACAGTACATTCAAACCTATTTAAGTCCAAAGATTTCTCCATCAAGCAGGGGTGTCCAAACTTTTTTCACCGAGGGCCACATACAGAAAAACATACGAAAGGCTGGGCCACTCACTAGAGGTATATCGCCTCATAAGTTCAGTTATAAGTAGGTAAATTATGCTTGATACTTGAAAATGCCTTAAGAAAAAAACAGCCTATGTCACAGCTCTCTATAAGGTTTCATTTATTTTGTTGGCAGCTCATTCCTCAAAACAGAAGCCTCAGATTGCTGATAATAAAAGGACATATGAAGGAGCTTTTTCAAGCTTGTTAGGTAAATACGTTATTGGGCCTTTTATCTTATCAACTAAGATTTGTTAGAAAATGTTCCCAACTTGAATTGACTGAATTTATTTGAAAAGTGGGCTTATTACAGTAACACATGAATACTACTGTGTAATATATGTTTACATATATATTTAAGAAGTACAATATAAGACAAGCACAAGTTTCATTTGTGGGCCGTATTCCATTATACTTTTTTTTATTTGCTGAGGGCCGAATCAAAATGGCCCCCGGACCATAGTTTGACCCCTGATATAAAGCAATGCATGATGGGAGTAGAAAGTGAAGAGGTGTTACCGGGGAATCCTGGTTGTCCGGCAGGTCCTTGGGGTCCTTGGATGCCGGAGGTACCTCCAAAGCAGTTCACACACGTCTCGCCCTTATCACCTGAAAGAACAAACCATCACAGGTCAGTGTATATTGAAGTATGAAAAAAAAAAAAGGAGTAGCTCTACTCATCTCATTGTACCTGTATAACGACAATAAAGGATTCTATATTCTATAGTGTGATAAAGCATTACATTACATCACGTTTTTCATCCAAAGCGACTCTGTGACCATCAGACATTTTAACTCCTCTCTTGAAAAGTCAATATGCTGGATCTTCACTTCTTATGTTTGTATAATAATCTATTATTTTTATTTTATTTGTGTTGACTGCAGGAGGCAGGGATAGAACTGCTGACCCTCTGATTGGTAGATGCTTATTTCCCCACTGTGCCAATTTTAATTCATTTTTTGAAGGACTTACATTTAAGTTGTTAGACGCTGTAAAAATCTACATAACTCAACTTTTAAGTATTGGTTCATTGCTTTAATACCCTTTCTACGATAAGATAAGATGGACCTTGATTAATCTCCGTAGGGCAGTGCTTCTCAAAGTGTGGTGGTCCGTGACCGCCCCCTAGTGGTCCGCGGGTATATTGGTAACATTTCACATTTGAAATAAATAAATAAATGTAAGTTTTCCGCACTCTCGCGGGAATATCTCAGCAATGGAGTGGGGTTAAGTTTCACTTTCGATTGCATGATATAGCCCAGCGCAACACCTTCATCACACATGTTGCCACTTGTTTGTACAATTTTCAGGCGATTTGCAATCTGTTCTAGAAAAACGATGTGATTTTGGATATTTGTGGAGTTAGGTGGTCCGCGAGTGTTTTTTGCATGTGTGATTGCAGCAACAGAAGGAAACACAGATAGTACGCATGGAATATACACGGGAATAATACGAATAAAAGTACAAATACAAAATTAAATGAAAGAAGAATAAACATAAATTATATAAATATATACATTTAAATATGTGTCAACCTACCTGTTTCTGATTCTGATCATTAAATCCACAAACACCAGTGTCTCTCACCTTTCTGTCCAGACCCTCCGGGGAACCCTCTCTCTCCCTGGACTCCTGGGCGTCCGGACTCTCCGGCAACGCAGTTTTGTTGACCCGAGGAGAATCCTGGAGGTCCGGGGAGTCCTGGAGCTCCCTGACCCCCGTTGGACCCTGTTCGTCCTGGGGGTCCCGGCAGAGAAAGACCGGGAACGCCAGAATCTCCCTTCAAACCTTTCTCTCCCTGGAAGCCTGGAGGTCCTGAGACGCCTCCACCCCCAGTAGCTGAGAGTCCTGGGGCTCCTGGAGGGCCCGATAAACCTGCGGAGGACAGGAGGGAACAGCTTTAATCAGAAATATATATTTAAAAGTGTTGGGGAAATACTAAATGTCCTCTTCCAACATGAGAGTAACGTGATAACAAAGGTACCCCAACTGTAGCTGTGTGCATGACAGGATGTGTGATTACCTAGAAGAGCATCAGGACTGTTTGAGGCATGTGATAGCTATGTGATTAACATGATGATTCAGCCTCTATGGAGATAGACATATGACAAGCATGCTCATTTCTGACGTGGAGCTAATCTGAAGTAAACATTGAATACTGCTTTCTATTCCTCCATCTTGTGACTGTGTAACTCCCTCTCTTGGATATCAGCATGTGAAGGACACTGTTCAGGAACTAGTTGATGCTCTGTATGTGATGACTACTTCCATTCTGGAGAGGATCACAAATACATGGATCCTGAGGTTGAAGCTCAAGCCGGTGACGAGGAATATTTGTCTAACATAATATCCAACAACTCAGTTATTGAGTAAAATCTAAATGCAGTACAAAGTACAATATCTGCCTCTGAAATGTAGCCAACCCTAACCCTAAATATATTGTAATACATTTGAATGTGTGTGTGTGTGTGTGTGTGTGTGTGTGTGTGTGTGTGTGTGTGTGTGTGTGTGTGTGTGTGTGTGTGTGTGTGTGTGTGTGTGTTTACCTCCTGGTCCTCTCTCTCCTTTGTATCCAGGTGATCCGGGGTAGCCGGCCTCACCTTTAGGGCCGACCTGCCCCCCCGTCTGCGAGCCGATCACCTGGTGGGACGAAGAGACATAACACACGTTTAGAAGAAAAGCAGGAACTCTCACAGGCTTCTTGTTTGACTTATAAAAAGGTATTTATTCCAATGTATTAATAAATCATTCAAATAAAGTAATAATGAAGAATGATATTAGTATTTAGAAGTAATCAAATGGAGTCAACGTGAGATAGAGGGATATCTTGCCACCATTTACCACCAAAAATAAAACAATTTTACTATTTTTTCTGAATTCTAAATGACAGAGCTACTTTTGGATCAACATTAGAGACACAAGATAATAATATTGTTTTTTTTTATTATCAAAAACATACATTTCTTTAATAAGTAAAATAAAAGACAAGAAAATCTTTATACAGAGAAATGTCTCCACCTAGTGGTCAGAAATGTGTAGTGCACCAAGAAGCCACTTTTGAACTGTTCGTTGACCTGCAGAAGCTTTTCAAAGTGGATCTAAGATAAGAAAATTAAGTTAAGATCGTTTTAATGGACAAAAGGTAGAACACATACCACGCCTGGTGGGCCTGGGTATCCACGATCACCTTTGAAACCCTAAAAAGAAAGAAAGACGGGGACATTATTCAAACAATAATGACAACACGACTTTTACATTTTATTTTATGATTTGAATATAGTTTTTATAGTTGTAGAAAACCTACCGTCTCCCCATCCCTTCCTGGAGGACCTGGCTGGCCTGAGTCTCCTTTACCTCCCTGATGAAGGAATAAAGAAAGTTAGAAATACAAATGAGAGATTTTTTTTAAAAAGAGTTATGAATCGTCTTGTTTGTTGGTAATACTCACGGGGAAGCCTGGACCACCGGGGTCGCCATCTTTGCCGTTTTTGCCCTGCGGATAAAAGAAAAATGGTGATCAGAATTGAGGTCAAGAAAGACATTTAGGTTCTCTATGACCTTAAATACAATTTGAAAGGTCAGCCATGCTTAGTTTAGACTTGACAAGTGAAGATATTTTTGGAAATGCAACTACTTGTTCAGTAAAAGGTTGATTGTTAACGCTTCATCAGTCCAATGAAATAGGACACCATTTTGAATAAATATGTCTGTATAAGATCTGATCTGTAATGGTAGCTTCCTTTTGGCCGCATCCCGCTGCTTGTTTCAAGAATTCAGATTCTTTAGTGTGTCTTTGTGGAATTGACTTAATTAATTATACGAGTATGGACAACGCTGCAGCTTCATATAGTGACTTTTTAAAGGAAATAAAGGTGTTGAATACACAGAAAGTAGAGCTTGAGAGAGATGTTTTACTCTTTTGGCGCACACTTATAGGAAGAGGAATTCTTGCTGCTTTTAGACGATTCAAAAAAGTTCTCTGAAGCATACTGACATCTTTAGAAGAAAGTTGAACTGTATGAAAAGGCTGGGGTTGGACATACAGAAGTGATGGGAAAAGACTTGTCCTCATAATAAGTCAAAATGAGAAATATATCTGTTTTTGTGTGATGTGTACTCACTCGTTTGCCTGCATCTCCTGCTTCTCCCTTGCCTCCTTTCTGGCCTCCTGAGGGACCCTACAACATCAAAAACATGCCTGTTAGAACCAGGGAGTTTCATGTTGACATATATTCTTATAATGTTCATCTAACATATTTTATATATCGATATACAACAGATACTTACAGGGACTCCTGGATATCCTGGATCACCTTGAAGACCTTGAAGACCGGGGTCTCCCTGCAGACAAAAGGATCAACGTTTCAATATAACCGCTCTAAGAAACATTGTCAGGGAATTAAGACTTTAAAAAAACTACATTTTGTACAATCAATGGTGCAACAGATTTCTAGGTTTTATGCATCATCCACTACGGTGAGAACAAAAGCAAAAAAAAACGACAAATCATCAAAAACATTTGTAAAAATGCTTAATAAATTAAGCAAGAATAAACATAAATTAACAGTACGAATACAATTAAATATATACATTTATATATATCCATTATTCAATTGACCATCCCACAATTCATTGCCCATACATAATTGATTGACCCTGCCATCCACACAGAGGAAAAGCAGAAAGGAAAATCGGACGTCATTTTTGGAACTATTACTGGATTTCTGTAGGAGCAACATATCTGCTGCCATCCAGTGGCTGTAGTGAAAGTAGCAGCATCTAGCAGTTTGTAAAGGACTTGTAAGGACACTTATCTTAAAATAATCTGTGTAGATATTGTTTTTTGTTCGTTTATGTTTTCTTCTGATGGAAACATTTATTGCATTACAAATTCTCTTACTTAAATTAGGCTCGTTTGTGCTTTGGCTGCCATATTTCAAGTCCATTTTGTGTCCTTCCAACTATTTAACTTATTTTCTTCGATGGTCAGATCATCTCTAAAAAAGCTCTGCAGCAGATTGAATAGAAAAACTTTACGTCTGAAAAACTGATCCAAAGGAATAAATGTTTTGTGTGTTAATGCAGTGTCGATGTCTCTGGCAGTATTACCTTATCTCCTCTCTGGATCTCCGTCTCTGGGGGTCTCTTCTGTTCTCCCACTTGTCCCGGAGGACCAGCAGGGCCTGCTAGACCTGGTTCACCCTGTGATCACACACACACACACACACCACACACACACACACACACACACACACACACACACACACACACACACACACACACACACACACACACACACACACACACACACACACACACACACACACACACACACACACACACACACACACACACACACACACACACACACACACACACATTAGCTTTTAGTAGATGCTTATCAAACGTTTACTCTTGTCACATTAAATACCTTCTCTCCTTTGGGGCCTTGGAAGTTCAATCCCATGTTTCCCTATAGGAGAAAGCACAACATCAGTTTCATAATACTTAATGAAAAATAAGTGTATTGGAGAAAAATGCATTAGCGTCTAAGCTTTGTAACGTCTATTTTATTGGCTTTGACTCACCTTTGGTCCGGGACTGCCGGGAGGACCTGAACGACCCTAGAAAACAAACCCAGAAAACAACTCAGTTCAACAACCGGAATAATTCAACGCAATAAAAAAAACATGAAATATAGAAATGTAGACGGTGATATTTGCTTTGCCGCGGCCTTCTTACGTCAGGACCTCTGTGTCCTTGTGGGCCGAGTGGGCCTTGCGAACCGGGTGGTCCAGAACTTCCCTGTGTCAAAAACATCCACAACAAAATGTCATACATACATTCATAAAAACATACTTTTGTGTATAGAGTTGAATTTCAAGTGAGGACCAAATCCAGATGAATGTGTTATAATACTCACAGGAACTCCTGGTAGTCCGGGCAGTCCCACTGAACCTTTCTCTCCAAAACGATTGGTGGAGATCACATCACCTGGGTCGCCCTGTGGAGGAAAACACAACCAGAGGACACTGTGAGACGTGAACTGTCAGCGGCACGTGAACTAATCAAAACAGCACCATCATGTGGCAGGAAAGCAACTATCCAAAAGGACACTTTAATTTGAAAAGGAAAGGATTATATCCTGCTGATGTTCAGCTTCATACACATAACACACTGTAGGAAAGGGAAAACCCCCCAAAAGGCATGCAAATAAAAAACCCGCCCGCTGTGACGGACCGGTGAGAAAAACACACCCCTCAAGTTAGACCTAACACACGTAGCTATTGTATCTCTGGAACAAGCTAAACTGGTTTATTCTTCACTGTCGGGTCACTCATTACCGGATTAGCGAGCTGCATGACACGATACAGAAGAGAGAGATGAAAGTTAATGTGAACTTTTGAATAATGTACTTCATCTACTATACGTAGTTGGTTGAATGTAATAATGATGTTGTTTGGGGAATCATTTATTGAAAAATGAATCTGAACTAATCTGTTACGATTATAAACTGAAGCAATATAAAAATGACTCCCATTAACTGAGTTTTAATAATAATAATAATAATAATAATGCATTACATTTTTTATTAGAGCGCTTTTACAGGTGCTCAAAGCGCTTTACAAGTACTCATTACACATATTAGACATGTAAGAGCCATCACTGCGGACATTACCCAGAGTTAAATGCGGGTAAAGTGTCTTGCCCAAGGGCACAACGGCGGGATTCGAACTGGAGTTCACCAACGCCCCTCGATCTGATGACCAACGCTCTAACCACTGCGCCAAAACCGCCCCGCCCCTTAAACGTCAGCATATCCGGTCCTAGTCCGGTAATTACCTGCTAACGGAAACTCTGCTACACAATTCTTATTCTTATTATTGAAACATGTCCGGTAACCAGTAACTTTCGAATTTGTCCGGTCAAATAAATTATTTCCGGACACTTGACCGGCAAGAAAAAATCCTATCGGAAACCCTGCTGTGTTTTAGTTACTTTGGCTGATTATACCTAGAAGCTCTGATTTTACACACCAATCAGAAATGCTTAAAGTTGAAGGGAACACTGACCTTTATTCCTGGCAGACCAGGTACACCCTGGAAGAGAGGAAAGCAGAACATGTTAAAGAAGAACAATATGATAATAAACACTCTTTCGTGAATTCTGCAAACTCACCGGCTGTCCCTGCTGACCGAGGATTCCTCCAATTCCTGGGAACCCCCTGTCACCCTGCAGAGAAGAACATTTAACACACAGCTGAGTTCATCTGTAATTAATGTTGTGTTTTATATCATTGAAGTGTGTTGTTTTAACTTTTCATGCATTTTTACTCTGTAAAGTGTCTTTGAGGTTCAAGAAAAGCTCTATAAATATGATGCATTATTATAATTATTTATCTGTCAAAATATAGAGAAAAGCTAATGAGTGGACCATGCATTTAGTAAAGAAGCTCATAAAAGGTTTAATTTATGGCATTCAAGAGGCTTTGGCATCTTGAGAATAGCAGTTTCGTTTACGGCCATCAAGCACTGGAATACTCTTCCAGTTGAACTTAAAACCTGTACTGATTTTAACTCGTTTTCCTATGGTGCAAAAACAATTATATTAAGCAACCAGTCATGCCAACATTAATTACACTGTAATCTGAGTTTTTTTTATTTGAACTGTATTGTCATTGTCATAGATATTTTATTTAAGTGTATTTGAAGTGTACTAAGTATTATGTTCGTAACCTGAATTTAAATCAGGCTTTGTAATTATTTGAGTGACCGAGATCATGTAAGTGTATTTCAAGTGTACTATGTATTAATTTATTGAGCTGTACTTAAATCAGGTTTTTAAATGGTTTGACTGATAGAGATCATGCAATGTTATTATTTGTTTATTGATTGTTATGAACCTGTCTGAGGACCACAGATAGAAATGAGCTATTAGCTATAATCTGGCATCTCTTCTCTTTGCTGAGATTAATGTTTTTGTATGCATGGTCCTTCTATAAATAAATACAACAACAAAAAAGAACACATCTGGAAAAATCCCTCAAAATGTAATAATTCTGGGGGAAATATAACCACATATAATAGTAATTAAAGCAAGCACAAAGAAATTATGATGCAAACGTATGTTATTAAAAATATATCAGAAGCATCATCAAGTCTGATAAACAATGATCCAATTTATCCTAAGTTTCAGACATAAAAGTGTTTTAGAAAATGCTTTATTTTAACTATTGATCAGGTACCTTTGTCCCGTTGCAGCCCGCAATTCCTCTCGGCCCTGGAGGTCCATCCTGGCCGGGCAGACCCTGAGGAAACACAACGTAAACAGGAAGTCACATCTCACATACTTCCTGGGTTTTAGATTTAAAAATTGTTTTTGTTCAAATCAACCAGAATCACTACTCAAAGGAAAGATTATATGTAATTTCCATGTCATAAAAATTAGTAATATCAAATTGAATTGATTGTAAACATATAATTTTATAAATGGTACATTTATTTATTTTCTAGTTATTTATATAATGATTTTTTGTACCCAAATCTATGTGTTTTAAAATTGTAATAAATCACTTTTAATCGATATATTTGATTATCTGTTCTATTATGTGTTTGGCAATTTTTCCAATGTTTTTCAATGAAGAAAAAAAAGCGGTGTTAAATTATTCCTCGGGATTTAAGACGCGTTAAACTACTTTTAATAACTTATATTAAGAAAAAGCATTAATTGTTGATTAACTTAAGGCATGCTAAACGTTTTGCTAAATGGAACAAATATATGTTTAAATGTAATGCACCACCCGGCGGGCACGTAGAGTGACGCAAATCAAACACACACAATAGCTAACATGCTATAAATGCTAACATGGAGCATCATCCGGCGGTTTCTTCTTTGCTGAGGAACTGTTACCTTCGTTTCAGGACTTCCTGCTCTTTGCGGACTTGTTATATACCCGAAAAAGAATGAAGAAGTTAAAACTGAAGCTAAATAAGGATAACTTTGTGGTGTACGAGAGTCCCAAAATGACAGGTGATTAGCCGACAACACACACCTGTGCTACTGTAGCTTTAATGTAGCTAGGCAACACAAAAAGATCAACGGTTTTAATGTCAGAGCCAGAGATGGAAGAAGTTCTTATATCTTGTAAAAGTACTCAGATCTTGTAGTTTAGTAAATGTAAAAGTACTCAGATCTTGTACTTTAGTTTAGTAAATGTAGAAGTACTCAGATCTTGTACTTTAGTAAAAGTAGAAGTACTCAGATATTGTACAGTAGGCCTACAAGTAGAAGTACTCAGTAGGCTACTAGTCAACATTATGTGTGTGCATTACAAGTTGTGTATAAAGTGTGTGGCTACAGCTGCCATTTAATGCATATTTCTATAGGCTACTATATTTCAATGTTGTCTGCTTTAATGTTTTATTGATTGTTTAAATAAGTCTGAATATATTTAATTTGTGGCTTAATAATGCTTGTTGCACTCGCTGCCGTGCTCACTTGTAACTTACTGTCTGCATGTTGTCTCATTTTATGGTTAAGTCCATCAAAGCTGGTTTTTGTTTGACCAGTTGTGTACGCAGTGCTTCTCAAAGTGTGGTCCGCGGACCACTGGTGGTCCATGAGCGCCCCCTAGTGGTCCGTGAGTATATTGGTAACATTTCACATTTGAAATAAATAAAAGTTTTCCGCACTCTGGCAGGAATATCTCCGGAATGGAGCGAGCTTAAGTTTCACTTTCGATTGCCTGATATAGCCCAGCGCAACACCTTCATCACACATGTTGCCACTTGTTTGTACCATTTTCAGGCGATTTGTAATCTGTTCTAGAAAAACGATGTGTTTTTTGATATTTGTGGAGTTAGGTGGTCCGCGAGTGTTTTTTTATTGGTTAAGTGGTCCTTGGTATGAAAACGTTTGAGAAACACTGGTGTACAGGCTGCAAAGTGCATGGATAGAAAAGTAGTGTTTTATTGTTTGTTTGGACATATGTGTGGTGTCATATAAATATTACCCCTTTTGTTGCCTTTTGAGAAATGTAACGCTTACTCAGACTACATTAAAACGGACCTATCGTTTTACTTGTGATACTAATATTACCTGTTCTTGAGTAAAATATATTTGAAGTTACTGTACTTTTACTTAAAATATTCTAGTACTCTTTCCACCCTGCTTTTTCGATTATGTGGGAACACTTACGGGAAGTCCTGGCGTTCCTGGGAATCCTGGCAATCCAGATGGCCCCTTAGAAAGAAAATAGGAAAAATAGCCATTATTAGAAGATGCAGAAAATATTAAATAGAGTTTTTAGCCTGCGAATTGGGGACATCTGCTGGTCAGATGAGGGCATTACACTGTGAAGTATTTCCTGTTTTTACTGTGTTGGTGAATTAACATGGAAAACTACAGTAACTGAGATTAATCTATTTGACTAAACAATGGGATTAATCAAAAGTGAAGAGAATGAGTCAAATATGAATGTAAATCTGGTTGGATAAAGGTTTTTTTTACTCTGTTTGTGTCCAAAGTAAAGTATAAACAAACAAATACTTACTCTTATTCCTTTTGGACCATAAAGCCCCTGAGATCCATCGGTACCCTGAAAGGAAAAACAGACTGGATTAGAACAAATACTTACTCCAATATGTGTTCAAACCATAAAACACTTAAATTCTCAAATGATTGCGTTATAAAACACACAGCCTCCTTTGAATGGCCATGTTTTTCAACTTCTTTCAAATGTAATAGCAAAATTATGAAACATTTGAACCTTAAAGTTGAACATTTTCTTAATATTCAGTACTTATTGTTTTGATATTGACACCGAAACTCATTTGCAATGTACATGGAACAATTGAAAGGAAACCCCACCTTCATTATAAGAGCATACTCAACATTTACTACCTGATTACAAATCTGAATGCTTTGATTGTTGCTCCGTTTAGGAATTAAAATAACAACACATAACTAAAACAGGAACATATATTGCATAGCCATAAAAACTGCACTCATCCAAACTCATAAAAATACTCAATCCAAAGCCACTTTTCTCGTCTCCACTTCCCAACTCTTCCTTCGTTTTTTCCAGTAAAACTTTTCAAAACGTCTTCCAAATTGACTCCGAACCCACCTTCTCTCCTCTGCCTCCGATTGGCCCCTCAGGTCCGGGGAAACCTGGAACCCCTGGCTGTCCGGTGAGACCCGGGAAACCCCGTTCACCCTGCACAGAAACACAGAGAAATATAATCAAAAAGTCTTCCAACACTTTAGGGCTGCATGATTCTTTTAAAAATGGGTGGCGTTCTGCCTACCTTGGTTCCTTTTACTCCACTGCAGTCACATTTGGATCCCACACAGCCATGGCAAGCCTGTTGGGCGACAAGAAAGGGAGGGAGATGAGCATTTGTTTGTTGATATAAAAATACATATTATCGGTATTTTTATTCATTTAGTGGCACATTTGGCAACAAAAACACAATCTTACACTGACAACTGTGAGAAATGACTAAATAAAAACCCCAAAGCAGTTTAAAACCAAGTTCAAATAATGTTTTTTGGAAATATGTCTAAGTGAATATGTTATGAATCGGACACAAAACACTTCAGGGGGAACCACATTTTAAAAAAACTACACTTTTGGAGTTGTTTAATTGATAAATTCTCTTTTATTTTATGAATATCTATTGCTGTAATCCACCATCGCCACCAGAGGGCGCTCCATCATAACATGTCCACGCATTTCTTCCCAAAAGAGAAGTAGAAAAGTTCTCCATGCTTGTTTAATGATGCAAGGTCAGTGACAACCAGAAGATACAAGCTAACCTCAAATAAAGAGCGTTTATCTGAACTCAAACACATTCTCACTCCTCAGTTCAAAGGAGTGACAACGTGTTGGGTTAAAGCAGAGAGGGAGGGATGGGAGGAAGAATCTGTTGATTGACTTTCCCATGCTTGTTGATACAGCGGATGCCAGACGGGCATCGCTGCACGCATGCCAGGCAGGCGGGCGGTGAGAAAAGTCAGCATTCTTCAGTCTGTGCTGCCTTTTGTGAATCTGTGTTTGTGTGGATGGCTGTCAGGGTGCCAGTGTGTAAGAGAACGGCTACGACTCATTTTAAGGATGGAAGAAAAGTGTAGGAAATTCGTGTTTCGTTTACCAGAGTGCAAGGTGATGCCTTCAAATGCCCAACAATGTATTCATAGTGTTACAAAATACAAAAAAGTGCCAGATCGTAACATTTTAGACACAAAATAGGCAATAATTAGTGGAATATTTGACTATTAAAGCACAAAAATACATATATTTGCCCCCCTTAACTGATGAATGATGTACTGTAGTTTTTAATTGAAACGCAGTAGTGATTTCTGATCAGTCAAATCATTATTTAGTTTGGAAAATGTCAATAAATCCCCTTAATCATTTTCTGAGAGTGCAAGGGGTCGCCTTTTTAAAAGTCTGTTTTCTGCATCCAGTCCTAAACCCACAAATATTCAATACAAAAGCATCAGATCCAAACATTTTGGAAGCTAAAGTCGATTTGACAAAACATGCCAGACAAATTACAATCTCTGTTTCCAGCTTCTCAAATGTTAGGGTTATATTTGGGTGAATAAAACAAGGAATTTGAAAAGGCCGTCTTGGTTTCTAGAAGATATTTCTCACATCATACGACTAAACAACTTAATGACTCATCAAAAACGTATGTATACACTAACCGACCATCGAAATAATTGTTGATTCCTGGCAGAAAATGCAATTGATGTCAAATACAATCCTAAAAATTCCATAAATTGATTGAAAATTGTCCATTAAAAATCCCCAGCCTGCAAGGGGACTCTTCAAATGTCATATTTTATCTGACTGAACCCAGAGACATTAATGTACAGTGAAATAAATCCCATTTGAGACGCTGACACCAAACGATATTCGTGTCTTGATGTTAATTAAAGTGTTCCAGCTCAGTGAGAGGGTTAGAGTTAGGGTGTTCACGGGTTAGGGTGTTCACGGGTTAGGGTGTTCACGGGTTAGGGTGTTCACGGGTTAGGGTGTTCACGGGTCAGATTCATAATAATAACTGAGATCATCATCCAGACTCCCACAACACGTTAGCTCATAGACTGAGAGTTTAAAACCGCTCACGAGAAAACTACCGATGTGAAGCTGAGCGAAAACAATCCACTGGACTTCTTGTTTCTAATTCCTCCGACGTCGCCAGTTACTCCGTTGTTGATCAATCTGCAAATTGTATCAATGACCGTACTAGTGCATCCTGACTTATACATAACATACTTGATAAGTGACAAACAAGAAATAATGACGTTAAAAATAAAGTTGAATTATCATGTGCAACATTTGAATAACGTTAATTGTAGACAAAGTAAGTGATATGATGTCTAAATAACTAAAGAATAGCCACAAAAAAACACTTTTTATTGCGTTAAAAAAGGAGATAAATCAGTAAACAATACATTGAATACTTATTATGTTGCGAATAATCTTTGTTTACAGCTTTTTAATGCGAGTGACGAGCCATTTTAATAACTCAATCTGGGCTGTATCCGGTTTATTAAGCGACTTAACAACTAAACGACTTCATAAAATACTAATTTCAATAATCGATTGTGGAAAATCAGGCCAAGATTACAATAAGTGACAATTAACTGCCGTATAAAAGTGACACTGAAGTGAATTTAGAGAACTGTTGGCGGTAAAAACACGAATTTAATGAATCGGTTGTTTTAATAATCATTGATTTCAGGCCAAAATGGCCAGCCCTGTAACAATGACATTTAAGGGACTTTAAAGAAACTCAGGTAATTTAGTATTCAAAGTCAGGGTTAAGGGTTTAATTCCCACTTAGGCAAGAACACAAACTTTACTTCAAACACATCAGGAGTTATTTTTTCGTTTGACATCGAATGTGACGTATTGGCGATAAATACAAACTCTTATCTAGACTGTGTGTGTGTGTGTGTGTGTGTGTGTGTGTGTGTGTGTGTGTGTGGTGTGTGTGTGTGTGTGTGTGTGTGTGTGTGTGTGTGTGTGTGTGTGTGTGTGTGTGTGTGTGTGTGTGTGTGTGTGTGTGTGTGTGTGTGTGTGTGTGTGTGTGTGTGTGTGTGTGTGTGTGTGTGTGTGTGTGTGTGTGTGTGTGTGTGTGTGTGTGTGTGTGTGTGTGTGTGTGTGTGTGTGTGTGTGTGTGTGTGTGTGTGTGTGTGTGTGTGTGTTTACAAGCCCTGGATCTCCAGATTAGTCTCTGGTCTGCTTCAGCTCAATGCAGTCTGCTCTCCCACGCCCCGGCCTGCAGCTTACTCTCCTCCATCTCTCTACATCTGCCGTCTCTGCACTCGTCCCTTTTTCCCCCCATTGACATGCATTAATCCAGGAAGGCATGACAGAGCTCTCTTTCTCCAATAGGGCTTTAAAACACTCACAGATACTCAAACCCCCAGAGCTTTCCTTAGGGACAGACACACACTCTTTGCTTTTGAGAAATGTCCTCAAAATCCTAATATGGACTGCACTGTGGTTCCAGAGTGTTTACTTCAACCATATCATCGCCAGTCAGGATTCTAGTAAACCAAATGTGTATGCTAGACAATAATCAGCATATTAATCAATAATTGGAAATAATTGTCAGTTGCAGCCCTGGTTAAAGCATGAAGGGAGAAAAATATACTGAAGAATAATCAAACATTAATCTCAAAGTGACCTGTTTGACCCTAAAGTGATTTACGTTAATGTATTATATTAATTATGTAAAATGTTCCTATCCTTCCAAAACTAGTATTACATCTGTTGGCACTCGTCTTAATAAAAACAGGAATAGTCACACACACGTTTCTGATTAGAACATTTACAAATTAACATTGTTTTCAATCTCGATATTATATTAGATATATATTTTCCTCCTTTCCTATCCTAGTGATTGTCCCTCGACCCCTTAGTTATCTCTCGTGACCCCTAGTAAGGTCCCGACCCTCAGCCTGAGAACCAGCACCTTATATATCTGTATTTTCACACGTATGAAAATCCACAAAATGTGTCATTGGATCATTCATACAACGTATTACTTATCTTCAACAACATTGAACTAATAGTTATGACGTTATATGAAGGGTTAGGGTACTGTAATTATTACAGTATTCATCTATTATACAGTACACATGTTTTAGGGTCTTAACGATGGTATACAAGCAGAATTGTGGATAGTTTTCTTAAATGTACCACTGCTGCAATACATTCCCCTTTGGACAAATCTTAATCTTAATGCCTTTTCCCTTTTTTCTACTTAAAAAATAAGAATATACGCTTGTTGCATGACATGCTATCAACAGTGTTGTTATGTAGCTGCAGGCTGAGGTGTTGCACTGCAGTGATTGTCTGCAACTGTTCTTCCCTCTGGGGTAAAATACCAGCCGGTAATGAAGTGAGCATGGTTTCAAAATGTGCCTGAATGCATCACCTCTGTCTCTCCATGCCTCCCCCCTCTGTCTCCCCCCCCCCATGTAATCCACTTAGAGAGGTCAGTGAGCTGCAGATATTTGCTCCACTCCCTTCGTCTGTTAGCTCTCTCTCTCTAGGTATCAGTATGTAGTGTCTCTACTTTAAAGAGTCCTCTCCTGCTGATGTTCAGGTGTATATCAGTATGTAGTGTGTCTACTTTAAAGAGTCCTCTCCTGCTGATGTTCAGGTGTATATCAGTATGTAGTGTCTCTACTTTAAAGAGTCCTCTCCTGCTGATGTTCAGGTGTATATCAGTATGTAGTGTCTCTACTTTAAAGAGTCCTCTCCTGCTGATGTTCAGGTGTATATCAGTATGTAGTGTCTCTACTTTAAAGAGTCCTCTCCTGATGATGTTCAGGTGTATATCAGTATGTAGTGTCTCTACTTTAAAGAGTCCTCTCCTGCTGATGTTCAGGTGTATATCAGTATGTAGTGTCTCTACTTTAAAGAGTCCTCTCCTGCTGGTGTGCAGGTGTATATCAGTATGTAGTGTCTCTACTTTAAAGAGTCCTCTCCTGCTGATGTTCAGGTGTATATCAGTATGTAGTGTCTCTCCTTTAAAGAGTCCTCTCCTGCTGATGTTCAGGTGTATATCAGTATGTAGTGTCTCTACTTTAAAGAGTCCTCTCCTGCTGATGTTCAGGTGTATATCAGTATGTAGTGTCTCTACTTTAAAGAGTCCTCTCCTGCTGATGTTCAGGTGTATATCAGTATGTAGTGTCTCTACTTTAAAGAGTCCTCTCCTGCTGATGTTCAGGTGTATATCAGTATGTAGAGTCTCTACTTTAAAGAGTCCTCTCCTGCTGATGTTCAGGTGTATATCAGTATGTAGTGTCTCTACTTTAAAGAGTCCTCTCCTGCTGA